GCTCTCCTGGGCTATTGATGCTCCAAAAGTGGCTCAGAGACACTCTTTCAGTCACTATTTTAAGTTCAAAATAAATAGCATGTTTCCTGCCACCGAAAGGTTTCGCTTAGTGCACAGCCCTGTGCATTTAAAAGAAGGTATGAAGAGGACATCTAAATAGGTAGAGAACTTGCCTTAATGTTTCTGGACCTTAATCTCCTTATTTTGAATGGTAATAAGTAGTAAAATACTTTCCCTGGAGTGTCCAAGAGGGTGTGGGGCTAGCATAGTGCCTGATGCATAGAAAGGTTCAATAATTAGAAGATATTCTCATTTTTTGGACCATCATTTTTATTAACATCAAGGTAACCATGAGAAAAATAAGGGGAATGTCTAGAATATAAAGTGAGGTGGTCTAGGGAGAGTGAGCTGGTCAGGGGGATCTTTACAGGATTCTGTGTGGTATCCCAGATCTCAGATCATGACACTGGAAAGTGGAATGCAGAAAAATAAGGCTGCCCAAAATGCCTCTTACTGAAAGGTGGTTTGAATACTATATTACATCCATGCTGAGAATTAGTGTCACCTGAGACTTCTCTCCCCTGGATCTTCACAGCGCTTTGCTAACATACCTGGCATTCTTTTAAAAAATTATAAAATCATTCATTTTAAGCCTAGATGTGAGATTTTCAAACATAAGGATTGTTTCTTATTGTTTGTTCATTGTTTCATGAATTTCTGGTTCTTGTCATTGTCTCTGGCACATAGCAAGCACTCAATAAGTATCAGATGATTGGAAACATGAAGAAATTATTGTCCTGAGGAAGGAAATTTTTTTTTAAATGCAGATAGGATGTGAACAAGAAAATAGTGACTGATGCCATATGTATAATCTTGTTTTTCACAACTTTGGGTTGGGGTGAAGTGTTATGACTTTTACTTTAGTGTGTATTCATTGTAAAAAATGGAGAGAGAAAAAACAAAAAAAATGAGATAAACTGGTTATCAGTTAAAACTACTTAAAACAATAGATTCATTATCTTTATTTTAACTTCTATACTTATCAACTACTTGGATTTCTTCATCTGTGAAGAGTCGGTAATGTCTTTTGCCCATTTTTCTTTTGGATTTTTGTCTATTTTTTTAATAGTAAAAGCTTTTTTCACTTTCGAAAAATTAGACCTTTCTCATAAATGCTGCAAAAGGAAAACTTTCTAGCCTGTGTACATTGTGCCATTTGGACTTTTATGGCTTAATGTGGATTTTATTTTAAAGATAATTGTATTAAAGCATTTAGGTTTCCACCATTGCATTTATGCTTAAAATTCTTTCCTTCCAAGATAAGACAAATCCACACATATATTTTTGTGTGGTTCTATTGTTTTATGTTTATCCCTACATATTCCAAATAATTGACATTATTGGAACAAATAATTCCAATTATGTTGTAATAATAGCTTTTTGGAATAATAAAAACAGCCTTTACTATCAACAAAACAAAACAGACTGAAATCTGAAACAAAAAAATGGACAAATACATTACTGACTCTTCATAGATGAAAAACTGCAAATCTTTGATAACTACAGAAATTAAAATAAAGATAATGAATCTAACATTTTAGGTAGTTTTAACTGATTACCAGTTTATCTCATTTCCTTGTTTTTGTTCTTCCCATTCTTGTAATAATGCACATTGATATTATTTATTATTATGTAATGTCATAATTATGATTATGGCTCTGTTGGCTCAGCACCTCATTCTTATGCTTATTTAAAATGTTTCCCTTGATATGTTCAAAAGTCTTGTATTAACTGGGACCTGATTTTCAGCTTTATCCAGTTATCATCCAATTAGCATACCCCCAGTCATGTCTCTCCAGATCAAATTTGTCACAAAAGCTGAAGAAATTACCCCATAAGATAGAAGGGTACTTATCCCCTCATGAGAACAGCTCAGATCCCAGAAGGAAGAATCTACCCAAAGAAAACCCAGACTTTATTTACCCTTTATTTACTGGCTGTGGATTCTCAGACAAGTTGCCTAATAATTTTGGCCTCAGTTTCCTCATTGATAAATAATAGGATGATAATATCAACCTAACAAATGTATTCTAAGATTAAATGAAATATAGCACATAAAATGGCTGGCACATAGTAAGCAGTGTTTGTTAATTTCTTTTTCTTCATACACCCAACTTCCAGCAAATGAAAATATGATTATACAGAATCTTACACAAACAATAAATTTATTTATTCTCTTTTTTTAGTTGCTTTCTTCCCCCTTTTACTCCATGTTCTCTGTCTCTGGGCTTTTTGTGAATAAAGGTGACTTACAGGAACCCGTTCTTGCATACAGTCCTGGGGCTGCACCACACAGATAGTGACAGCTAAGGAGCCCAGGCCTTTCCATGTATACTGACATTATCAGGGCTATGATGAGATTTCCTGGATGTTTGGGAACAAGTGATAAAGGATCAGAAGGCTATGGCTGTTGCTGGAGAAAATCATGGGCTATTTCTGCAGCAATGAAGAAGATGTCAGCTCTAAAGACAGACTGGCAGGAGCTTCAGGAGGGAGTGTCAACAGATATTCAGGCAGCAAGGGAAATAGTAAGACAATTCCACATTGACTTACAAATGGCAGAAATGAGGAAATTTGGTAAAAGCAGAAAAAGTCATGGAGATCCTGGAGAGGAAATGGCCTGTTCTGATACATTGAGTCTTAAGTTGTGACAAGACACTTAAGAGACACCTTAGAATCTGAGACTTCACAATGCAAAGCAGAGGACAGCTGGTGAGAGCATGCTAGACCACACCCCACCCAGATTCTGCCCAGGAAGACTGAATCTGTCAGGGCCTGAGCTTCACGTACCCTGCATTAGCCCTAATGGTAGTAAATGTGAAGACAGATCGAAAGACAGTAAGACTTCCAAAGTAAGCGGGAGATGTGCCACTTTGCTAGGAGTCTACTGTGACCCTTAGCAACAGGAAATAAGATATGTTAGTCCCTCTTATGCTCTTTATAAAATAAGGGTCTTAGATCCTGTTGTCTCTTTGTTTGCCCATCTCATGTGCTTTTGGGCTCAAGCTCCATCTTAGCCATGTCATTTTAAGGTGTTTGTTTCTGAGGTGATCACATCACTCAAGTCACAGTGCTGAAAGGTCTGTGGAATTTACCCCAATGTCATTAATCTGGTACAGAATCATCAGTCTAATTAGGTCTTTAGAATATCCAGCCCTAAAGAATTTCCTGTAGGAAGGAATTGTTCAGTATAGAATCAGAGACCCAGGGTCTAAAATGTGACAAAGCCAGTTGCCCTGTGGCCTGTGGACTTAATTGTACTTTCCAAAGAGTTTCAGGGGAAGCTTTTGAAAGAATGGAACTAAAAACAACCACTGAGCCATGGATGTGTTATGGCTGGGCTACATTTCTTCAGTGCAAGCTGAGAATCACATATTTAAAGGATGAGTATTGGGCATATATTAAAGTATACAGTCCAAATTATTTTTTAAAAAATCAGAAGGACCAGGGGCATTGTAATAGAGGAGAGAGAAAAGGGAGACCTAGGAGCAAGGGAAGGCGTTGTGTAGGGATAGGACTCTGGAACTGCTGGTACCTGAACTCATCCCCAACCAAAACACCCATATTGAAATGCAAGAATGATTTGCAGTAAAGTTGTATGAAGGAAATAGTCGTCTTACAAATGGTTTTTCCCATCCTTAACTTTATCAGGTCCTTGCAACTCCATGAGGTAAGCAGTATATATATCCTCATTTTCTAAATTAAGAAACTGGGGCTCAAGTGGTTTAGAGATAGAGATCCAGTAACTCAAAGTCCACCATCTCCTTTCATCTCACTCTCACATCCCCTTAGTGGCACTGGTTTCTTAGCATTGCTCTGATTCAGTAGTTTCCTTATGATGCTTTTAGCAGGATACAAGGAAATGGTTGAGAACTGGAAGTGTGGCTCAAGCCATAGAGAGACTGCTTTGCAAGTGTGAGGCCCTGAATTCAAACCCTAGTCCCATGAAAAAAAAAAAATCAAGACTTGGAAATAGCTGAAAGAGTACTGAAGGTAGCCTGAAGAAGAGAGAGAGCTGTGGTTCTGTCCCTCAGCCCTGCAGGCTCTGATGATGCATAAACCCTGTACACTGTCGAACACTCAGCCAAACTGGTGGCCATAACCAACAGTCACAGTGCAGTCCATCATTCCTTCTGAGGGAACTTCAAGGGAACGCTCCCTGAGAGGGACACTATTGGATGGTGTTGTCCAAATGTTTTTACCTAACGTAGCTAGCAATGCAGTGTTTTATAAAGGGCTATCACATTCAACCACAACGTTAGTTGGCCATATTTCAAGTTCAGAAAGACATACAGAATAAGACTTGTACTTTAACCTAGATATCTGACTGCAGAGCAATTCTAAGCCTATCTACCATAAAAGTCCTGTTATTCATCTCTTCCATCGGAGTCGTGGTGAGAAATCTGATGATCTCCTATGCCATCTAGAGTTGCTCTATCTTTGGCTCTTCATTCCTTATTCACATCTTCATCAAGAATTTGTTGAGAACATATTTATTATGCTTCAGATGGTGTGGCATATGTTAATGATACATGCCATAAAGAAGGAGATAAATGGTCCCCAACTGTGAAGCTCACATTCTCCTGTAGGACATAGATGAGTGAGCAGACAAGTGTAATGTTGTGTAATTAGGAGAAACTCCTCATGCAGCGAAATCCTGTATAGATACTGCCTAAGCCACGCCCAAATTAAACGATTTCTAAAATGTTCACACACTTGTACCTTGATTTCCTGGAGATAACTCTTGTGTTGTCACAGGGAACCAAGTAAGTCACTGGACTGGGAATGAGAAAACTTGTCCCCTTTGGTGGGAATGCGGAAGAATTTTTTTTCCGTGACTAGGAACAGATAGTATCATCTTCATCCTAAGAGGGACGTGTCCAAGTCAGCTAAGATGAATGCTTACTTAGGAAACAAAAGATTTTCCCCAGAACTGGCAAATGGAAGGGGGCCACCCTAACAAAGATGCAGGAACCAGACTTGTGCCTTTGTGTCATTCCTCTGTGTATTTCAGGTGCTGGGGTTGCCACACCGTTAAAGGGTGCTTCTGCCTTCCGAGGTAAGTGAAGAGTTGCTCTTAGGAGTCATTTCCCTCAGTGTGGTTTCGATGTGGTACTTGCTGAAACTTACCTGCCTGCCGTAAGTTATCCTACTGTCTGGGGCCACAGCGGAAACCTGGCACAAAGCCCAGATGCAGTCATCTGAGCATCAGTTGGGGAAGTAGCCCTTCAAGTTTGGTAAAAATCAGGAACAACTGTCTCCTGGGCAGTAGGCTCTCCTCACCGGGATAAGCCTCAGAAGCAAGGATGAAACTGGCTAGTAATATAGAGAGAGACTTTTCTCGTACTGTAGACCCTAGGAGCTCCGTGTATAGAAGCAAGCGTTTCTGTCCTTTGCACAGAGAATGGATACAGGGTGATAATACATTGTTCAAACTGGGACACCTTTGAGGGTGAAAGGTGTGCTAAAAATAGAGTGATTGATAATGACATTCACCTGATGCAGCAAACCAGAACCTATGGTAATCCTCCTTACAACACATGTCACCTTCTGAGGTGACAATGGGTTTCAATCGTACTTATGTTGTGTTTTCCAGGGGGTCTTCTCTGCAGTGCATTCTAGCAAAAGGTGTTTGTTTGTGGAATCATAGACTAGAATAGGGATTGATGATACTCCTGACTGACTGCTCCACTTACATGATATAAAATAAATGGGTAGTTTGTCAGAAAAATTCTCTAAAAAAGTAACCTATAATAACATCATACTTCTCCTTTTATAAATAAATTCCACATCAGATTTAGAAAAGGAAGTAGGGAGGAGAGAGGTAAAACGTATTTCTACTTGGCCTTGTCTTATATTCTTTTCATCATTTTTATCCTCTAATTCCTATATGCTGAAAGAGGTATTATAAAAGCCATATAACTTTAACAAATTAAAGATTTAAAATTAAGTTTCCCTATGTCTGGGGGTGCACACCTGTAAGCCCATCACTTGGAAGGGTGAGGCAAGAGAATCAAAAGTTTGAGGCAAGTCTGGGATACATAGTATGACCCTGACTCAAAAAATTGTTTTAATTAAAATAAAATAAAATTTCATGGGTTAGTGTGATTTCTTTTGAGAGTTTCTTAATATTGAAGCAATTGATTTACTCTTCTCTCTTTTTTTATAGGAAAAAAATAAGCACTTCTAAAGCAAGACGAGATTCCCCAAAAGAAAGTGAGTCATTGCTTTCCTGTTATTTTCACTCTTACCAGACTTACATTTCCAAACTGTCCCTTCCTGTGCTTCCAAAGCCTCACAGACATACTTATAGTGTACAATCTGCACATCTCGCTTATCTGCACTACTCCTGAGCTCAGGGAAGCAGGGGCTGACTTACCTATCTCCATATTCCTCAGCTAGTGCCCAGTCTGGAGGCTGAGGGAATTAACTAAGGACAACAAATGTGAAAGGTGGAGTCAAAAGACACTTTATTTTTTTTTCTGTTTATTACTGTGTTGGGTGGGGGTACATTGTGGCATTTACAAAGATTCTTACACTGTATCAAATATATCATACTTGAATTCACCCCCTCAACCGCTCTCCTTTATGCCTCCTCCCCGGATTCCTGGAACAGTTTCAACAGGTATCATTTTTGCATTTACATGCAAGAGTACACATTTTTGCACAGTATTCACCGTCCCACACAATTTCCCACCACTGCCCCTCCCACTGGTGCCAAACACCGCCCCCCCAGGACCTGTTCCACCCTCCTGTTCCCAGATTTTATAGAAGAGAAAAGATAAAAGATAAAAAAGACTAACATGACATTTTTGCTTGTTTGAGATAAAGGTGGCTACCCAGGGAGTTTCCTTGTGATAGCCTCATGCATATAGGGATTACAGTGGTCTTCAGGGACAGATCAATGCTGAAGTTAAGAAGAGAGGATTCAAGGAGAGAGTGGTAGAAAGGATCATAGGTAAGAGAGTGAAGGCGAAGGTATAGGCCCAAGGAAAGGCTGGTGTGTTTCAGAAGAAAGAAAATGGAGCAGTAAACTAACTTTGAAAAATTGGCCTGCTGTGTTTCTATCTGCCAGCAGCTATGGGAATGGCAATGTCCAGCTGAAGAATTTCCCCTTCTAAGCAACTTTCCTTGAGCACAGTCCCCACACCACCACCACCCCACAACCTACCTGCAGCTGAAACCATGCCCTCCTCTGCACCGTGGACCTCTCCCAGTCTCTTGTCCTATGCTGGCCTCTGAGCCTGGAGAGGACAAGGTTGTCTCTGATGCTTCTTTGTCCCCCGCCCCGTGCCTTGTATAGAGTAGATATCAGATGGATTTTGTGTAAGGAAAAGGAGAAGGAAGGAGTGTGATTTCCTGTTCATTGATTCTCCAAATGTGTCTTTCTCCACTTGGCCTCTCAGTCTGGGCAATTTCTTGTTTAGGTCTGTCTGTTTCTTGTTTAGATGATCCTGTGACTTCTCAGGGCTGTGTTGCAGGTCAAAAGAGGCTGAAAAATGCTGCCCCAGCTGTCCCTTTACTCTCTGGCTCCCCGCCCCTATCAAATCTCTTTACCTAAAATTCATTCAGTGTATTTTCTTTCTGCAGATGAAGGAGTGACTTCTGTTTCCATCCAGGTAATAAGACCCCTTCTGACCCTAGACCTTAGATGCCAGTGCTGTGAACCCAGGACCGTTTGCAGAGCCTGATGCAAAGCAGCTGCACCTTTGTTGCACAACTTAATGAAAAGAACTAGCATCTGCTGAGCCCTTTGTTTATGACAGACAACATTCAGAGGGCTTGACAGGCATACCTCATGTAGCTGTCACAGCAGCCTCAAACAATTGTACTTTTCCTTTACACATGGGAAAACTGAGAGATTACGTGAGAGTTCCCAAAGCTAGACAGCTGGAAGATGTCAGAGCCAGGATTCAAAGATCCAGAATCTCATTAAAAAATCCAAGCTCTTTCCCCTGTCCCTTACTGCCCCTGCTTTTTATCTCCTGAGCTTCCACCATGAGTTAAATCTCCCTTGACTTCTTCCTTGTTAAATGATGTGACAAAGAGTAACTAATTATCATAACTCAGTTACATTAATGTATCATCAGATTGTCCTCCTTTATTAGAATGGGCTGCCTTGGGCCCTTAGACTTTGAGAATTATACAGGATGCTCAGGAGTCACTCTAATGGGACAGAGAGGACACCTGAGAAGTCCGCATGCACTAGGAGAGATGAGTGCTCTAGCTGCCTGGTCCAGTGGTTAGGGTGGGGGCAGCCATTTTTTTAAAATGGCCAGGAAATGAAGAGGAAGTAGATTTTACCTAGGAACAGGCCTGTGTTGATATTAAAGTGTGAAGGGAATGACAAGAGGTCAAATCTTAACGATGGCTCTTCTTTGATCAGCAGGACAATGCTAACCAGACCTACTCTCAGGAGCTATGCTACATCCTTATCAATCACAGGGCCCTTGGGAGAAAGTCATCAGGGAGCTCTGCTGAGGTATGCTACGAGAACGTGTCCTGCAAGGCTGAGAGGCCCAGGGAGCCTTTGGGAGGAACTGAGACCGAGTATTCACTTCTCTGTGTGCCTTCCACCCCTAGCTGTCCACCTCCCCCAGAAGATGAATATGAACTTCTCATGCCTAACAAAATCTCCTTTCACTCTCTGCAACAGCCACGGCCACTTGTGGACTCTTTTGAAACTCAGTTCTCCTGTTTACAATGAAATGATTGGACTAGACTTTGTTTAGCACCAGCAGATAAAAACACAGATGGGGGTTCTGGTGAAGCAGGCCTGGGACGCAAAGCTCTTCAGCTTACTTCTTCTACAGAGTCTCTGCTGAGCAAGGACTACAAACCACAGGGCCTTTTAGATCCTGCTTAATATCCGACATCCAAAAATCAGTCAATTGTTCTGAACTGAACACCACTATTTGAGGAAGAGGTGGCCATCTTTGGGTCTAAGTGGTGTTGGAAGTACTCTGTGGTGAGAAGGGGTCCCTGTTCCTCTAGAACTGGGTCACCGCAACAAGTTCTGCTCTTCTGACTAGATTCTTATAAAATATTCCCATGATTGTCCTGTGAGTCAGGACAGAGGAAATTTACTCATCATATTAAGTGCCTCTATACACAATGAAATTTTATTTAGCCACAAAGAAGAGTGAAATTTTGTCATTCACAGGAAAATGCATGGAACTGAAGAGTATCATCTTAAGCAAAGTTAGGCTCAGAAGGCCTAAAATTGCATGTTCTCCCTTATATGCAGATTATAGACCTAAAACAAATGCAGTAATATTATTGGACATGGGTCATGCACTAAGGGGAGAATGTGCACAGGAGGGATAGGGAAAGTGAAGGAAACCAAAAACTTGAATGTGGTTGATGTGCTCACTATATAGGAGAGAATATAGTAACCCTAAACTGGCAGAGGCCACTGTGGGAAGGGGACTAGGAAGTAGTGAAGAGGTCTGGTAGAGATGAGCTTATGTGGGTTGTAATGTACATGTGCATGGAAGCAACACAAGGATTCTCCCTGTATAGCTATTCTTATTTCAAACTAGCAAAAATGCCATGTTTTTCTTATTATCTTTTGTATTTTTCTTCAACAAAATCAGAGAACAAGAGGGCTAACCAAGTTCTGCCCAGAGTGGGGTGGGTGGCCCAAATAATGTATACACATGCAAGTATAATATATTAAGTGTCCCCAAGGGAGAATTCACTCATTACTGTGACCTTCCAGCTCAGTCCCACTGCCCATGGGAGCTTGTGATGTTCCTCTTACACTACATGTCTAAGGCATGTCCTTCACACAGTGTCCTCTGACTCGCTGGCCCCCACATCTTGCTTGGTTCCAACAGAGTTGTTTATATAATTGTAACCCATGTTTTTGTAAAGGAAAAATAATTTAAAAAGCTTTGCATTTTTTGAAGTACAGGTATGGAACCCAGGGCCCCACGCTTGCTAATGATCTACCACTAAGCTACACCCTCAACCCCTGCCCATAAATCTTAACAAGACAACCAAAGCTCAGAGAATGATAGAGAAAAAAGACTTCTGGAGCCCCATTAGTCTCACCAATTTTTTTCCTGCTCAGAGAGAATAATTTGCCCAATATTACATTCAAGTTAGTGACCCAACTTTATCTAGCACCTGATTTCCTGGTTTCACATTCAGTCTTCCTCCAAAATACTCCATAATAGATATCCCATAGTAAATGTCTCTATTAAATAATTTGCCATGTGTACAATATGAATAAAATGTCCACAAGGGAAAAATCTCACATACCTCTTCCCCATCTCTAATGATCATCTCTCTATATGGCTTGATTATTTATTTTCCCTCATCTTTTCTTTATTATTTCCAGATTTGTGTCTGTCTCCTAAACCAGGGTTCAGCAAACTATGGCCCACCAACAAAATCTGAACCATAACTTGCTTTCATAAAGTTTTATTGGAACACAGACACACTCATTTGTTAGTAGTTGTGACATAGAGCACAGGCCCTGCAGAGCCAAAAAGAATATTTAATTTAGGCCTTTTCCAGAAAACAAGTTTTCAGACTTCTGCCTTAAGTGACCATAGTTTGAGGTAAGCTTAATAGAAATATGTTTAGTTGTTGATGTACCTCATAAGAGCAGGAGCCAATAGAAATGGTATGAAAATATTAAACCACAAGTGAGATGAGTGAGACCAAGAACATTTAGCAAATTAAACTATTTTTATATTCACACCTGTGTCCTCTACTTGCCGTTTTATTTAACTCATAGTCACTGTCCCAATTTTAAGAATGTTAAAATAGCAACACTTTTGTTGAGACAAACAGTAGATGCATTATATGTCTGATTACTGTTTGTTCTCAGAGCTAAATAACTTTGCTGTGTAAAATGTATGCGAAGAGGCTGAGATGCAGCTCCATGGTGGAGGCTTTACCTAGCGTGCACAAGACCTTGTTTCCATCTCTAGTGCCAAAACAGTAAAAAGACAAAATAAATTGTGCTAAGTGCCCACTGAGGACAAATCCAGAGGCTTGAGGTTGGCCTCAGAAAAAACCGGTTTTCTGAGACTTTATCCAGTCGATGCCTGAAACTGAAGAATCTTTGTATCTTGGCCTCTGCTAACTTCCTACTTTTAGCAAAATTCTTTGGAAATGGAACCTTCACTTTGGTCTTTGGCCAAAATTCCCTCTGGTTCAAAAAGAGGTTTTCTTAGTAGCAGGGACTACTGCACAAAATGTAACCTGGCTTAGGGAAAGGGCGTGGACCCAAGACAGAAAAATCAGTGACTCAAATCCTGTTTATCTCTCTCTCTTTCTTGAACTGGTTACTTGGAGTTTCAATTTTCTCACCTTTAAATGGGAGGGTTACATCTAATCTATATCATAGACCCTGAATAGAAATGATATCAAAGAATATAGAGAAATGAAATCTTTTATAACGTGTGGAGAAAAACATGATGGTGATCAAAGGTTACCCAGCAATCCCCCAGAACTGCAGAAACTCCCAACTTATGGGTTTTTGCTGGCATTTTTCACATGGATACTAAATCATCATGGAAGTTGGCTGGTGAAATACTATTAGCACAATGTGATAAGCCATATTTCTTTGGCCCTTATCCTGAGAAAGCATCTCCTATCCCAAACAGGCCATGCTTTTTATCAGGATCTTATTAAGTAATAGTCCCTAGCCAAAGGGTGTTGTTCTTATACTAAAATTAGAGGGCATATAAAAGGGCTTTTTTTTTTTTTAACAGAAAAGCCATTTGGAATTGCTTCAAAATATCTACCCTGATGTACAAAACATTATTTGTTCATCAAAAATAGCAATAATAATTTAAAAGGAGAAAATTTATGAGAAAAACTCTGAATTTAGTATACTTTGTGTAGAATAGCTCAAATTTTTAGTAAATAAATTTTAATACAGACATATCCACTATGTCTGTATAATACTGATCCTGTTTTCCAAACTTTTGGGGATTTCTGATGAGAGCAATGCCACTCAATTGGCAGAAAATGCATGTTCACACAGAAGCACATGCACACTTGTGTACAGTTTCACGAGGTTAACGATTGCAACTCTTCAGCTGAAGGATCCCTGTTCTTAATCTGGCATGGTGGCTCCACTCTGTAATCCTAGCTACTCAGGAGGCAAAAATCAGGAGGATCTTGGTTTAAGGCCAGCCCAGGAATCGGGGTTGGGGTGGAGAGGAGTTAGTGAGATCCCATCTCAACAAAACAGCCTGAGAATGGTGGTGCATACCTGTCATCTTAGCTACACGGGTGGCATAGGTAGGAACGTCACAGTCCAACCTGGCCTGAACAAAAACATGAGACCCTACCTGAAAAACAACTAAAGCAAAAAGAGCTGTGGTTGTGGCTCAACGGTAGAATGCCTGTCTAGCATGTGCAAGGCCCTGAGTTCAAACCCCAGTACATCCCTCTCCCCAACTGCCACCAAAAAAACAAACAAAAAAAAAGGAATCCTTCTTCTTGACAGAGGAACTGAGGATGAGCATTGAAGTGATTCTCTCGAGTCGCAAACATAACCAGAAAAAATATCTCCCTCCCCCATGTCAGGTTTTAAAGTGTACATAGTCAAAATTCAGAAGTATAACATGTACTACAACTGCAGGCTTTGTGGTTTCCGCTTGCATTCATACTCGCATCTATAAATAAGCCCTTATTCTATGAATAAATTCGTATTTAAAACAGAAGACAGGATAGGATGGGGCAAAGATAGGGCGGGAAAATCTACTAATGACAATAAGTTCAAATGCTGACTTTTTTTTTCTTTTTCTTTTATTATTCATATGTGCATACAAGGCTTGGTTCATTTCTACGCCCTGCCCCCACCCCCTCCCTTACCACCCACTCCACCCCCTCCCTCTCCCCCCCAACCCCTCAATACCCAGCAGAAACTATTTTGCCCTTATCTCTAATTTTGTTGTAGAGAGAGTATAAACAATAACAGGAAGGGACAAGGGTTTTTGCTGGTTGAGATACGGATAGCTATACAGGGTATTGACTCACATTGATTTCCTGTGCGTGGGTGTTACCTTCTAGGTTAATTCTTTTTGATCTAACCTTTTCTCTAGTACCTGTTCCCCTTTTCCTATTGGCCTCAGTTGCTTTTAAGGTATCTGCTTTAGTTTCTGTGCGTTAAGGGCAACAAATGCTAGCTAATTTTTTAGGTGTCTTACCTATCCTCACCCCCCCTTTGTGTGCTCTCGCTTTTATCATGTGCTCATAGTCCAATCCCATTGTTGTGTTTGCCCTTGATCTAATGTCCACATATGAGGGAGAACATACGATTTTTGGTCTTTTGGGCCAGGCTAACCTCACTCAGAATGCTGACTTTTTAAAGACAATTTTGGGTGACAGGTGCTTCAAATATTCTCAGGGATGGAAGGGAACAAGAGGAAGAGAAAGATGAGTTTCCTGGACTCCATGGGAGCCTGCAGAAAAAAAGAGGTCCTGCTTGCATTTCCCATTCTACTCTTTTCCAAGCCTTGAAAGTCTACTTGATCTCGGTGTACTTTGGTTTTGCCAACTGTCAAATGATCCAGTATAAATCCCTCCCACTTTCTTAGAGGGTTCTTTTGCAAGTACATGGTGAAACTGAGTGATCTTGTCATCAGAGTTTTCTGTAATCTAGTGGTCACATCTGTCAATTTGTCCCTTCCCCCTGACCACTTGGGTTCCTTTATGAATTCTCCAATGTCAACTAAAGCTGCACTGAACATGACTGTGAGGTACCCACCAGGGTTGGTGGTCATTCATCATGTGTGATTTCCCAGTGGGCTGGGCTTTGCCAACAAACTGTGGGACTCTGAACTGGTCCTTCCCTTTCCCAGCTGCCTTGTTTGCTAGGAGTCAATGATTCTAATAGTAAAGGAAACATTAAAGGGTGGCCCATGAATACAGACACCAGCAGTAGTGTAAATTACCTTACTGAAAATCAATGAAACAGTAATGCGGATAGTTCTCCCATTTTTCTATGCACTGATCACACTCTGAATAGGGAGGGAGTTCATGTCAAGTCTCCACAGCTAAAAAGAAAGGGATAGCATGTGAACTTCACTCTGAAAAGATGCAAATGTTTGAAAGAAGGCAGATTTGATAATTCAAATTCCACCAGTGCTTTAGGGTTCATCTTGAGTCCACTTCCTTTGCAAAGCCTTCTTCAATTAAACTGTACTGACTATTCTTTCCTCCTGATCACCCACAACCCTACCGTTTGCCTTTGTTTTTTATAAACCTGGGTATTTTTTTCTCTGCTGGTTCCTGTTTCATCTGACTCTCGAATATGAACAACTTTTCTTATCTTCTCCACTAGTAACCTTGTTGCCTTCCACAAAACACATTGTGTTTTTATATCTATAAAACGAAATTAAATTGAAAAGCATAAAAGAAAGTCGGACACATGGCTAGGACTTGTGCTGGCAATGGGACAGGAGGGTTATACACATTCATATCTAAGTAACTGCCCGAAAGGATCTGAAATCCTTCAATTATGCTTATAGATACTTGCTGAAACCTTATGTTGCACTAGATACTATTCTCATCAGTAACAGGTCTGATGACCAATAAATTCATTTCTTGTAACAAAACACTGTGCATGTAAGTGTATTTTTTTCAAACTCTTCAAAACTCTTAATCATACAAGTTAGTTAGTTCCATACCAATTAGACCAAAAAATCCAACCTTGGAAAGTCCTATGACTTGTAAGTGGTCAAAACCAAAGGCACAGTATGTCTTGGTGCTTTCCACAGAAGGGAAGAACAAAAGTAAATTCTTCTCTCCAGATGTGAACGGGCCTGTCCTTTCAGCTCCAGCCTTGATCCTGTCAGAGAGGGCCGTCAGAAGAAGAGGAAGGGATGGGTGGCTTCTGCCTGCTCACACTGGAAAAGAGAGGAAGACCCAGCCCAGCCCAGCTCCACCTTATTCACACAGATGAGGAAGCTCCAATTAGGAATATGAAATGACTTTTGCTGCAAGAAAATGCCACCCCAAAGCATAGCCCTGGAGAGCAAACGCCCAGAGGCAAATGTGAATACAATAACCCAGACGCAAAAAAAAAAAAAAATTTATTACAAATGTTTTAAATCATTCTCTATTAAAATTCATTACTTTCTAAAAAGTACAGAGATACTAAGGTTCAATTTGACATGTAAAAAAGAGGAAGGAGAGGAATTCACAAGTTTCATTAGTTTAAGGAACTATCCTTATAAGATGATGAGTTCCCATACACATGTATCTTCTAGTTAAATAAGAAAGCAAATTCACATTATATAGAGTCCTGAGTCATAAGGTGCTCAAGGAAAATGTACACTCTAACGCACTCTGTGTCAAATCCACGCTCTGTCACACCCATACACAGGTGCCTCTCACACTGACTTCCAGCCACTGCTAATTTCAGATATTGGGGCTAGGGAATCCCTCGTCATAGGACCACAAAATTCTTTCTCCTAGAAAATTTCCAGTAAGATAATGTTCCCTCATGACAGGCAATTCTACACCAATAGATGACTGATACAGCCACTAACATTCCTTCTGCCCCCCGCCCCCACAAAATGATGGGCATAGGCTCTCCTTAGTTTATTTCAAAAGGACAGGGGTTCTTCCTGTTTCACAACCATTTGTAGTAAGTCACAATCAACTCCTAAAGACAACTGAGGCCTCAGAATGGCTACTGACAGTGGGCAACACACAGGTGTGTGTGTGTGTGTGTGTGTGTGTGTGTGTGTGTGTGTGTATAAAACACACAGTAACAATGGATGATGTGCCTGAGGCTGGTCTGCTAAGACACCCAGGTACAGGTGATGGAAGAAGACACAAGTATGCTGCTTATGTCTTGGAAAGTGCCTTTCTTTTCCTCATAGCTTGGCTTAGAGGTAGATCAAGTATAACAATGGTAGGGCAGGAGGGAGATTTCAGTAAGCCATTAGAGCACTTTTACCTTACCAGGCTACCTGCTTCTCCCTGCCCCTCCAGCACAGGCTAACAGGATCCTGCTAACACAAAGCAGTGTACCACCCTTTTCCTAAAGAACAAGCATCCACATATGGGCAGAGGCAGCCAGTGCTTCACACTGTTGGTCCACTCATCATCCCTCACATGTACTCTCAGACTTTTTGCTTTGTCAAGACTAGGCCCAGCTGGGGCAGTGCTCAGTTGCTGCCTTGCTGGATGTGAAGCCAGATTTTCAGTCTGTGCAGAATCAGAGGAAGGACAATCCCCACCCTTCTGGTCCTCTGGTTCTTCCGTGTTAATCCACAGGTCTGTAGTGTAAAACAGAATGAATTCTCTTCATTCTCAAACTCAGTGGAGCACTGCTTTCTGACATAGACCAACCTGCATCACTTCATTCTGAAAAGAAGACACAGATGAACAAAAGTCATTAATTTAAAAAAAAACAACCCAAATTATGTTAAACATTTATGTTTCTATCCGGCTTCATTGAGTCTGAATATAAAGTCTTTGGTAAAATTGGAATGCTTGTCAATTCTGAACAGAGAAAATGTACTCTTCCATCAGCACACATGCACACACATATACACACAGGCATGCCCCACACTGACACTCTTAGAAAGGTAAATAACACTTATAACTTGCTTCTTTGTTTTGGTATCACTTATAACAACATTTATTGTGGCCTTTCGGGTACAGAGGACATTTTCAATCTGACCCTGTTTTGTAACCTAACTATGACAGTACCTGTAAATCCTTAGCATTTTGAACCATATGTGATGGGCCAGGGCAAGTTCTGATGAGGAAGTGATGAGAGCTGGCTAAGGTGGAGGCCCTGTCAGACACCATACACAAACAGAACCATGTGCTCTGTGACAAGGCTTTCAAACTTCATAAGTGTATTTTTTCCACATTCCCCCACCCCACTCACTACTATGTCTACTTTTGCAAGGTGGAGACTTTGTAACCTCCAGCGCGTAGAGCCTCTCCACACAGAAAGAACATGTGCTGTGTGGATGAGAACAGATGAATGATTTGACACAGTACAAGCCTCCAAAGTTGCCAAATCAAAACACCCATACCCAGTCTGTCCACTTCTTTCTCATCCCAACTCTACTTTGCTTTTACTACTTACCATAGAGCAAGAGAGATTCTGGGTCAAGCCCCAGACTCTCACAACTAGGTACACTCTCATCATGGAAATCCTGTAGCAAAATGCCAAGCAACAACTCCTCACTCATCATATATTTCATAAAATCAGCATCTTCTGATGGAACTCCAAATTGCAGGTGATAGATTGCTGTGGCATTTTTACCACTGAAAGTCAAACAAATAAGAACCATTAAAAAAATAAACAGAATCACATCCAAATGCAGGAAATCAATTTTAGCAGTAACACTTGTTCACTTCCACATCTTGCTCCATTAAACAACTGTAAAGGTTGTGCTCCCCTCCTCCATGGCTCACCACATGAACTCCACCTACTGCTTAAAATTTAGGAGTCCACTGGGAGAGACCATCGAAGGGAGAGGCAAACCCCACTGTCAAAGAAGGGAGGTTTGGCATGTCCATCCTATCAACCTCTCATCCTTTAAGGCAACCAGGAAACCTTCCCCTTTCTTCTCATATATTCCCATCTTCATGTTCTCCAACACTGCCTCCACATGTATGTGCCAGAACTACTGAGTTTAATCAATTTTTTATTTGACCTATAAAAATGTTTACAGGAAGGCCCAAAGCTCCCTCCCATTGACTGGGTCCACAACTCCTGAGTTCCCAGAGATGGTCCTGTCACCAGCAGTGAATCATTACTCCTATGTTGGCCTCCAAATAAAACTTTTCTGTCCATTTCCAGCTCCAGAGACCCCTAAGGCGGGATGACCAAGGTTCTTAACTCTCAGGAATGGGACTTAAGAAAACTCCAACCCTGGGGAAACCCTAACTCTTTCATCTTCCCAGAACATAGTTTTCCCATTTTCAGAGTAAAACTAATCATAGGTTATCCTTAGTTAATTAGTAGGTTATGCTGCCCTTTAAATGCTACCTCAACATGTGGGTTTTTCAGTAATCTTATTAGTTTGGTTTAAGATGTCCCAGATTAAGAACTAGCAATAAAATAATTAACAGGAGGTCACATCTGAGAGTATCTCCCCAGGGCTAGTTTTACAGCCTTTCCCACCAGCAGGAAATCAAGCCACTGCCCTGCTAAAGACAGGCAAAGAGCTCCCTCTTGTGGCAAGAGTTAGTAATCTTACATTTTTACAATGTGACTAACAATTCAGTTTGGAAACTTGACCAATAGTCAAGTTGTGTGCAAATCCCGTTGGTCAAATGAATAATACAGAGCTCAGATTCTGTCAAAACCCACAGTTGCAAGACTACCACTAAGGGCGGTCTGAAAACTGCACTTTCAAACACCAATCCAGCTACCCTGGTTTGCAGGTGTCACTAGGTACCCTCTGGGCTCTGCCCTTTAATTATTGCTAATGATGGTCAACAGGTAGATGAGTAGCACCCTGCAGGCCTCCTGCCAAACACTTAGGCTGACTAATGAAAATGGCAGGGCAGACTTTCAGAAGACAAGGTTGCAAGCAGCATGGGAAGCTCAGGCTGTCTAACCCAGCCTGACCCCCATGCCAGGTCATTGGGTAAATATACAAAAAGCTGAATTTTGAGGGGAGAAGAACAATTTTTGGGGAAGCAATGATCCCTCCAGGTATGCCTCAGCAACCTCCTGAAGTGGGTCTAGTAGCTAATAAACCAAAAGGCCTTTTCCAGGTTCCTGTTGGACCAGCCCTGAACTGACTCCAGGATCCCTGTGCAAACACAAATGCATGTGTTGGGGTGTGGCTGACTCTTGCCCGCATGAAGCAGCATTCTTTTGGAAGGAATGGGTTTTGTTTCTCAATTCAATTAGAAACTCTGCCTTGACTTTTGAAAATAAAACAAAAGTGTTTCAGGGAGCGAATTTCTTTGTCTAAAATCGTAACGTCTCTGAGTTTTTCTTTCAAATAACTTCAAAATGGATTCTCTAACATTAAGTCTTGGCCTGGTTTCTAGTCATCTTTCATTCAGTGTCAACCTGTCTACCCCTGTTCTGTAATCCTAGCTCCTCTAGACCCATAGCATAAGGCTAGGTTCTTAGAAAGACCTACAGGCTCTGAGAGTCTTCCCTCTCCCAACTCTGCCACAATCATGAATTCTAAATTGGGTCAAGGAAACAAAGGAAAGCACGTTCATTTCTCCATTTGCTACTGGCATCTTTGTGCCAGTGGTTTATGATTAAACAGATTAATGCCAAGGATGTCACCATGAGGTAGCATACGTCTTGTGAGCCTATAAAGAAAGAGGAAGAAGGCAGCCTGACACTGTATGTCAGGCTTTGGTCCTTTTTGGTCCTACCCCACAGGGTTACCACTGGCTTTGCAAGCTTCCTCTCCCAAGTCTACTGGTATTATGGTTTAAGAGGAGGATCTCAATATACTGTAGACCTTTGGTATCACAGGTATATATTTCCAAAGAGACAGTGGCTGAGGAAAAACTGCAGATTCTCAGGGATGTGTGTTTGTGCGGTAAATACTCAAATTTACCTCTATGGAAAGCACAGTAGGTCTGAGCATGAGTAGCCTGAAACAACATGGAGTAATTTCATTACTGCCGCAAAAATTACTGCTGTGCATATTAACACTGTTCAGCAAAAACTAGAGCTATTTCATGCACTGCATCTCAAGTACTGTGGATGCTTGATTTATTTTTTCCCGTAACACTGCCCAACACATTGCCTTTCAACAAACTGCAAATTTCCCCTTTATCCCTTAAATTAAGTACATTTTATCTTAGTTTGAGGCACCATTTGCTTTTTAAGAGGCAAATTTTCACAAAATTAAGAGCAGGGAAACACTCAGCATTAGGGAAACACAAGGATTACATACAACTGACAATAAGGCAGGACTGACTGAGCGCTTCCCCACACATCAACTGAGCTATGTAACGCGTGTGTTAAAAATTTGGGGGGTGGCAGGATTTATTTATTATTTATTTATTTATTTATTTATTTATTTTTGACCATGATTGGTAAGAACTGCATGTAATAAATCCAAGAATAAGACAGCTTACTGTATAACATAGCCTTTAATGGCCATATTCCAGAGACACCATAGGAACAGGAGACAATAGGCTTTGCTACATAGATCTCTTTATAATCACTTCTAGTAGTCCTAGTGATATAAAAGAATAACATAATGACTCTTTTAAATACCTATACCCTTTTGTCTACATCTCAAGAATATTAAAGATTGGGGGAAGTTAAAAAGGAAAAATATACATACATGTTTAGTTTATAGAGTAAATATACATACAGAAAAAAAAAAAACACCAAACTGTTGGTTAATTTTGTAGAAGGGAGTTGGCTACTGGTGGTAATGCAAGAGAAAGAAGGCAGAAAACAGACTTCTCCTATCGTGTGTACCTTTATATTTTTATATTCTACAAGAAGAATATACTCCTGAATTACTCTTGATGCTTGAAAACAAAAAGAAGCACATGCATTAAATCATCTCCATCACATCACCATCTGAGGTCTATCTCTATTCTACCTTAATTGATGCGAGCACCCCTGCTAAATAGGAATGGGTTACGTGGGACTGGTTTTCCCTCTCCTTTTTCTCGTTTGTAAAGTAAGAGAGTTGAGTAAAGTGATTCCCAATGACACTGACTCTGTGTGATTCTATTGTTGGTTCCCTTCCTACTCTGAGGCTTAGATGATACCTCCTAGGTAAATTGTGACAGGGAGGGATAGGATTATGTTCTTTCCTGAAAAAGAGAAAAAAATGTTATATTCCATGCTCTTACCTGTAGTCCACTATTTTAACTGAAGTGAAATAACGACTCAGAGACGGTGATTTACTGTACACATCTGTGAGCTAAACAGGAAGAAAATAACCACACATTATTAACAATTGTCTTATAGATCACCTGACAAAGCACAACTATTTATATAAGGGAGATGTCTCTCTAGCTAGGAAATCACCTAGCAGAGGCTCTGATGGAGCGTTGGAAGGGGTGAGCCTACCACAAATCAAAGCTCCTGTTAACACTCATTTAGAAGAATCTTATTGATAATGTCTAAGTGACTCTCTGGGAATTCTCAACTTCCCTTATGAGTTGCACTGACACCTCATGGCCTTGATAGTGAGCATGGTCAGTGGTCAATAGCTGAGCCTCACAGGCCCCACAGGCCATGGAAAAGAGAGAAGCCCCCAAAGTAGCTGTGAGGACAGCCACTCTGTGCCTGGGACATCACTAGACACAGGGTTCTTTTTCCCTTCTTCAGAACTGCACTGGAATGAGAAACAGCCGTACTGAGTTGCAGGTACAGCACTGGCCTGGACAAAGGAACAAAGTGGCAGTTGCAAAGCTATGGAGGCTTTGTTTTCTGTGTGAAATAGCATAAACATCATAAGAACAATGACATCTGTATTGCCACTACCTGGGTTTCATGACTTCTCATTTTGTGATATGAATGGATGCTCCATAATTTATGATGGGTTATTTCCTGATAAACCCATCTTAAGTTGAAAATGGATTTAATGCACTTAACTTACCAAACACCATAGCTTAGCCTAGCCTACATTAAATATGATCAGAACACTTACATTAGCCCATAGTGGGGCAGAATTGTTTAACACAAAGCCTACTTTATAATGAAGTACTGAATGTCACATAATTTAATGAATATTGTCCTAAAAACAAAAAAAAAAAAAAAAACCAGAATGGTTGTATAAGTATGATTTTGCACCATCAAAAAGTCTGAAATGCATAAATCGAAAATTGGGAACTGCCTTTATTGAATTCAGAGTTTTATTTTAGGACACCAAATAAAGCTAAAGCAACTCCTGCACCCTATGTGATTTTTCCTCCTTTCTCCCTCCCTCCCTCCCCTAGTACTAACCATCATTCTTTCCTTGCATATTTTTATAAATATTTCCTTAAGTAATTATAAAAACATATTATTTAATTTGTGGTTTTATTCAAATAAAAGGTACCATATTCTACATAATCTTGTAAGACTTGTTTTTGGTTTGTTTTGTTTTTGAGACAAGGTCTGGCTAGGCTGGTCTCACGCCCCAGTAATCCTCCTGCCTCAGCCTCTTGAGTATCTGGGACCACAGATATGTGCCTTTGTGCCTAACTTGCTTTTTCTTTTTCCTGCTCAAAAATTGCACTCAAGATTTATTCATAAGATACAGCTCAAGGAAAGCCATTCAGTCTAACTCCTGCACAGATTCCAGTAAGCGATTACACCAGCTCATCATTCCCCTTCTGTGCATTGCTTTCAAGTAAAACAATCAGCCTTGAACCATCTCTGTGTGTCTCTTCTTATACCTGTAAGAGTCTCCCCTCGCCACATAAAAAGAAATGAAATTGCAGGGTTCAAGGGCAGGTGAACCTTCAATTCAACTAAATCTTGCCAAATGCCCCCACTTCACTCTCTTCCCAGCAACATGTACATATTCCAGTTCCCATACTCTGAACAGAATTTAGGAAAATAAAACTGGTTCGCATTTGATAGACTGCCTTGCCTCCTGGTGAGGTTGAATACTTTTTCATATGTTTAACTCTGGGATTTCTGGCTTCTGTTTTGCCTGTTAGTTTCTTTTCTTATCTTTTTATCTTCCTGAAGTGGTCAGTTTTATTTTCTGAGACTGGTCATTGATGGTATGTTACATAACCTTAGATTAATCTTTTAATCATGTATCAGGGATATAAATCCTAACCTCACTGTACTTGAGAACATGTGGCTAAACACATTTACATAATGTTCCTTTTAAATTTACATTGGAAGGTTAAAGGCCTTGTTGTCCAGTAGGTTGGTTCTAGCATAAATCAGGACTGATCTGAGATCTGCTCACATTCCCCAGCACAGACCTGGCTCTGGGAATGGAGTGAGACCACAGCCAGGCAGCTGAGACCACTGCCAGCCCCACTCCTGCACAAGCTGAAGCCTCAGCCCTGACTCTCACCAGCATCCAAGGGTACCTGTGTACTGAGCTGGGCATGCCCAGCTGCACCATGAGGCTTAGTGCCCCATCACTTTATCCAACACCCAAGCATCAGAACATAGAAAAAGCAGCAGTACCCTACAGGGAGCTCGCTTTGTCTTCTACCCAATTCCAAACGAATCCAACGCAATACATGTCTCACCTAATTTACCAATTTTCACTTGGTGGCAACTCAGTCTCACAAAAGCAAAGAAGAGATTAGAGCATTGACTATTTGTACTCCTCTAATCTCCTCAATGTCATGGTGACCCTCATGAGAACCTGACTTGACAGGCATTAATCTCTCTTTCCTTTTCATTGACTAAGAAACCAGTGTTCTAAGATGTTAAGAAAACTACTTATTTCTTCTTACTCTACTAGTGAATGGTAAAGGCCAAATAAAATCCTAGGTATGGTAGACATGGAAACCCTGATTCTTCCCATTTTTCCCCATTACCCAGAAAGGGTGAAGCAATGAATGAAAGTGAACCTGTTTAAATATCAAGAAGGGAAGAACCATAAAGTGTGGAAACTCTGGGAGAAAAAGGACTGGATCATCTTCTAGTTCTTGAACTCTAGTGTAAAGGAGGCAGTTGAATGGCCAGTAGTTAGGTACTAGGAAAGCAACTGCTTAGAATGCAAAGTAGGAGAGAGATGAGGATGCTATAAAGGGCATTTTTTTCAAGCACTAAAAATAATAACAAAAGCAATAACAATGTCTCTTTCTTCCTTTTAGACTGAGTTTTCTATGGCAAGGGTTGTGTCTGTCATTCCTTCTAATCATCTCTGTTTTTTCCCTCCCACATTAATCTCCAGGGTCTAGCACTGCGTCTTACACATAGTAGATGCCCAGCAATATGTTTAAGTAAAAATTTCAAGTTAAGAGATGGAGTGGATGGTTAGAACAGTTAGTGTCCATTCTAAGACTCTTGTTGATGATGAGGTTCTCTATTGCTTCTAGGATATATTTATATTTGAGGAACTAGTCTGTCTACTCTGGATCCAAAGAAGTGGGACTGCAGTCTCGTCAGTTCTTGCTCTGTTGTCTCCCATGCTGTGCCTCTGAGGCTTGGTGCAAACAGATCTAGGAGACCAGGGTTCTGGTTAGGATAGTCTAAGAGAAACCAGAGGCTAAAAGAATCCAATTTCTAAGATCTTTCTCTGGGTAATCAGAGGTGCCATCATTAATCCTAACCAAGCACAGTACAGCATGTAACTAGCAGGCCACCTTAAGCAGAGTGACAGTGCCAACCCTGGGGGAAGGAAAGTCTGGCAGTGGATATGGGATATGGAGAGGGGCCAGAAAGGCTGTTCAAAGAGCAAGGGAAAAGGCATCATGTTCCAATGATAACATATGTTATTATTATATATAAAACATTATATACAACATATGATTATTATATATTATATATAAACATATATATACATACATATATATATATATACCTACACACACACACATATATATATATATACACACATACACACACATATGTTTAATATCTGTCCCCAGTTCCTGGTTGGTGCAGAATTCTTAAAACCTTTGTAGTTACCTGAGTGATAAGGGTGATGGGTGTATCTTTCATTCTAATATTTGTGCTTGGAACCTCAGCTCCGCACACAGAGCTGCTCCTCACACTTTAGAGTTTCCTGGGTCTTAGGAGAATCTTCTGTTCTAGAGAAGCAACTCCTGGTGAGCTTCTGGATGGGAGCTGATCACCAGAAAAAAACAATCCATGAATAGATGCTTGGAACTTTGGACTAGGGGCCCAAAGTTAGGTAGATCACCTGCCTAATGAGCAAAACATCCTGAGTTCAAACACCAGCCCTGGAAAAAGTTTTTAAAAAATAAAGGAGGATGGAACTTTCAGCACTATCCTCCATCCTCTGGGGAGGATAAGGACCTAAAAATTGAGTAAATAATCCATCATGCCTATGTGATGGAGTCTCCATAAAAAGCCGGGTTTAGAGAGCTTCTGGGTTGCTATCCACATCTGTGCATTCTGGGAAGGCAGCATGCCTAAGAGGGCCTGGAAGCTCTGTGCCTCTTCCCACATACCCTCCTTGTGCCCCTCTTCTTATGGCTGTCCATTTGTATCTTTTGTAATATCCTTTGTAATAACCAGTCAATGTAAGTATTTCCCTGAGTTCTGTGAGCTATTTTAGCAAATGATTGAACCCCAAGAAGGAGTGGTGGGAGCCTCTGATTCATCATCAATTGGTCAGAAGTCCAGGTGACAACGTGGACTTGAGCTTGGCATCTGAGGTGAGGGTGGTCTGAACCCCTAATCTGAAGGGTCTGCACTAACTCAGGTAAATAGTACCCGAATTGATTGAATCAAATCAAATTGTAGGACACCCAGCTGGTGTCAGAGAATTAGTGTGGGAAAAACTTCCACACAATTAGTGACACATTTAGTGAAGTGTTCTGTGTGTGAGTATGGAGAAAAATAATTCATTTTTCCTATACACATACTCAGCTCCATTCACCTTCCATATCTAGAAACTTCTGGAATTGGGTTTGATGGAGCAAACAATCTATTGACTTGACAATAAATCAGTAACATCTCCAAATTCCTAATTTTTGTTTCTGAGTACATGGATGGAGAACAGAGGGCAGGAGTCCTTCATTTCATTGTACCCTTTCTTACAGGTAATTCTGAAAACACGTTTTTCAGAATTCTTTATATGCAGTCTCATTTTGCACCTGTAAGGCACACAGGACAGTGATTCCCATTCATTAGAGAGAACTAGTCCAAAGAAGTCTTTGTACTTGCCTCAGCTATCACTGCCAGGCCCTTTCTTTTGCCACTGCAGAGTGATGAGTTAAAACCAGTGAATACTTTGCTCATGTCTGGCTCTGTGCAAGAGACATGGACTTAATGTGAAAAATGAGCATCCATTTCCCTTTGATGTAGACATTCCAGTCCACGCACATGGCTCAATCTCATTCCAGTCCACGCACATCTGCTCAATGTAAAACCCCTCTGTGAAAAGAGCAACAAAAGGAAAGTAGTAAGAAGCTATTTGCCAGCAGCCTGTTCTGGGAAATAGGTGGAAGGAAAGAAGGCAGCAAGGAAGAGAAGGAGAAAGCTAAGATTGTACCAGTTCTCACAGGATGCAAACTCCTGTGATAAAAGGAGCTGTCAAATTTCATGCAGTTGACTCTGGTATAATCAGATGTACTCGCCTCCTTCAGGAGCTTTTGCAAGAATCAAATGGAAGCCAGATAAAAAGTACTCACTTAATTCAACTGTGCAGTGGTACAAAAGGGCCACGGATGGATGGAAGGCTGGTCTTGCTCAGATTTTCTTATCAATAAGTCTCCAGGGAAATACTTACTTTATGCCCAGCTGAAATCTCTAAACCACATTGTTGTAATTTTTTCTATTGACAAATCTGGTGACCATACCAAGGAACCTGAAGGACACTGTTGATAACTCCAGTGACCCCTTGGGAAGTGCAGAGAAGCACCACCAACTGCATTGAGGTCCCTTGTATTCCTCACAGATTCCCAAGTGTTGTAAGACTCTCATGTAGTGGGCTCTGCTCTTTTTGAATTGGGCCCCTCAATCTTTTTGGCTTTGGGGGTACCAGGATTAGTTGCGTTGTAAGAAAGTACCTGACTTTGGGTTGGTGGTGACTGATAAGTCAATGAGAAAGCCAGTTTTAAATGCAGTGGTAGCAATCATGGCAGCACCGCAGGGGATGAATGGTGGCTCCTGGATGTCACAGACTTAAGAATACCATTTTTTTTCTTTTAAATGATCTGTAGTTGTCAGGCATAGTAGTTCATGCCTATAATCTCAGCACTAGAGAGGCCAAGGCAGGAGGATTATTAAACCAATGCCAGCCTGGGCTGTATAGCAAGACCCTATTGCAAGAAGAAAAAGAAAACTATAGTTTACAGCAATTTGTAAACTATAGTTCTGTCAATTAATTGAAGCATACTTTTTCCATAACTGATCTCTGCAAAATTTGTAAACTATTCATGAATATTCTTATTTTTACAGGTATATGGTTCCATGCATAAGCTCAATACAAAGCTGTTCTCTCTATTTCAGAAAAACAGTTAGAAATACTGGCTTTGACTGACATGCTATGCTTAAGCATGTGCCTACAGTGACTAGTTTCCAATCTTACAATGAGTCGGTAAAGTTGTAGCTGCCTGGCAGGCCCAGGATCCTCAAGATGTTAGGTACCACTATTAGGTACAGGTAAAATCTGAAGTATGACTTGATTTGACTTCCTAACATCCAGCTTTTAAAAGCCCAATCTGATATTGCTTATCAAATGTGGAAGGTAAAATAGGTCCTGTCTGTGGGGTAGGCATCAGTGGGAGGAGGAGGATATAAGGATAAGGGGTCAGAAGGTGAATATGGTGGAAATATTCTGTACACATGTATATAAATGGAAAACTGAGTCCTACTAAAACTGTTCCAGAAACGGGAGAAGGGGGGATAAAGGAGAATGATGGAGAGGGTAACTACAACTATGACAAATTGTAAGAAATTCTATAAATGTCACAATGTATCCCCAGTACAACAATAATAAAAAATAAAGTATAAAAAAATTAAAAAGAAGAACACTCCCAAAAAGTTTAATGGAGCAGAAAGGCTTTTTTAATGTAAATAAATTATTTAGTATTTGAAATATTTGAAAAAAACAATTTAAAAGAGCCTAAGTGGGTATTCTAGACACAGTTAAGCAGATGACTAGACCTATTTTGCAAACTGATTAGTCTTACTGAGATTGTCTTTGATAAAAAATGGTGGTGCTGATCAGAAGAAAAGCATAGTTCAATTATTATTAGATTGTCATGTTTGTTGCTTTTAAGTTTTTATGATCTACTTGTAAACTGGACTGGGTTCTGAATTTTTCTCATTTTCTCTAATATTTGGCTATAACATTCCAAGTAAAACTTTTAGTTCTGTTCTTGAAACTGGGAAAACTGGTGCTGGACAAGTCAATGAAAATTTTAAGGGACAAGTTTCAGGCCAGATATGTTGGCTATTGCTGTGGTCTAGATAAGTACCCTGCCCCACCAAAGGCTAATCTGTGAAAGGCTTGGCTGCCAGCCTGTGGTGCTATTGGGAGGTGGTAGAACTTTTAGGAGGTATGACCTAGTAGAAGGAATTTAGGTCACTGGGGGCATGCTCTTAAAGGGATATCAGAGCTCCTCACCTTCCTCCCTTTCTTTTGTTCCCAAGCTACCATGAGGGGAATGATTCTTCCATACACCTTCGCCATGATATACTGTGCCCAAAGGCAATGGGGCCAAGCAACCTTGGACTAAAACCTCAAAAACCATGAGCCAAAATAAGTCTTTCTTCCTTATAAGTTGATCATCTCAGTAGCACAAAATTGACTAACAGCCACACAGAGAGTTCACTAAAGTATCTGATGCAACAGAGACTATGAAACTGCAAACAAGAAGTTAAATGACCTCATCCTGTAGGCAGCTTTTCCCATGATTTTCATCAGAACAAGAATGCTTATCATAATAAAACTTTTACCCCTCTTCATTTTTCCTTATTTATACTTATATAGAACTTCACGATCAGTAGCATCTGTGGGTAACACAACAGCAGTGAATCTCTCATGTCAAACCCAAATCTTTACAGTTCCTAAGAGGTCTCAGTCCACCTAGAGAGTGATTTAACAGCATCCCTAATGCAACTGTCCAAAGTAGTACTAGTGGTTCTTTAATAGAATTAGCATCTTCTGCTTTAATTTAATCCATTTCTGGGATGCCAGATGACAGAATTGCTATCTACTAACTACACCAGGAGAAATCAGTGTCATTCTGACATTTTTTATTGCACATAGATAACTACATTGGCTATTGTAAAGGTTTAGTTGCAAAACTTAGCAAATAGGATACTTGATTAAGATAGGTAGACTCCTCATCTGTCTCATTCTTTCATGTACTGATTTTGTTTTTTTGTCCATGGGGACACTGGCTAAGGTGCATACTGCAAACTCTTGACACTATCCTCCTGATAATCATAGTTACAGTCTTTCTGGTGTGCTGTATCCTCTCAAAAGCTTTTAATGTTTTCATATAGCTATCTGTGGTATGTCTTTGGCTGGAAAGACAAAAACTCAAAGAACTGTGTGATCACAGGGACACCATACTCCATGAATGCTGGTAATTGAGAGTAGTGTGAAAGCCCTATATTCTTGTCACACTCTCACCTCAGTAGATGCCTGACCAAAAGATAGGAATTGTTAGATAAAAATTATAGAATGTCATTGTTTTGGCCATGCTCCTGCACAGACCAGGTTAAAAGTAAAACTGGACCCATGTTTCACTAAAGTTCCATGTCATACCAAGCTGAAACTAGGGTGTGTATCTGACCTTCTAAGAAATCAAGATTAAAGAGATAGCCAAATTTCCCAAATATGCCAGTTTCAATTGGCATGATAATGAAGTTCTCTCAATCTAATCTTTACACATAAAAAAGGCAACCCAAATTAACCTGATGTTAAACAGTCAATTATTTGCCTATTTTTCTGTCTCTCTCTCCTCACCTTATAAGAAAGGTAATTTTGAAATGACTAACCTATACTTTTGTTCTTTGCTGCTTCTCTAAACTTTTCTGTGTCTATAAAACCAATCTTCTTTCTTAGACTATCAGAACACTTACTGTATTTTATGGGATGAAGTCTTTCTCAATTCTAGAATTGGAAATAAAGCAAATTAAGCTAGGTGTAGTGGTTCACACCTGTAATCTCAGCACTCTGGAGGCTGAGGAAGGAAGACTGAAAGTTCAAGGACAGCCTGGGCCACATAGCAAGGCTCTGTCTCAAAAACAAAAAAACAAAAAGAAAATGAAGTCAAGTAATATCTTAAATAAAATAACCTTCTGGGTCTGGTATGAGCTACTCTCTCTGTGGCCAAGTTTACCCCAACTAACTCTGACGGTCTGGCTGCAGATGCTGCTATCCATCTACCCAACCCCCTACCCAGGAGCCTGGAATAGGCTCTCCCTCACCACATCCAGTTAGTCACTCAGTCCTGTTGAGTGAGGACACCTCTTAAGTCTCACTTGGATCTTCTTATTTCTCCCAGCATTGCCCTAACTCAAGCCCCCTCATTTCTCATCTGGGCTCTGCAATACTTCTAACTGGTGTCTTCCTTGGGACCTTTCTACCACCATTCAGAAAGGCTAAAATGAAACTCTGACTGTCAACCTGCTGATTAATGTCATGCAGTACCCTCCGGAAGAGTGGGAAAACTTCATGATCTGAGCCTTACTTTCTTCTTTGGCTTCACCCCTGAGAGTCCTCACCGCATAGCATGCTCAGGCACATATACTACTTCTCAGACTCCCGGATGCTTCTGCCCTTTTACCTAGAACATTCCAACCTTACACTTCAAAACTCATCCTGAGTACCACCTCTTCCAAGAGGCCCTGCATGCCTCCATCTCCACCTCAAGTAGTTTAGATGATCCTCCTTTGATTATGTATGTATCTCAATACTAGAACATACCACATTTTTTATAACTATTTAATAGTTTCCTGTATTTGGACTGTTAGTAAATTGGGGGTACAGACTATGTGCCCTCGCACTTGGCATGTTGCCCAGCACTTCACAGATCCTCAATGAACACTTCAGGTTGAATCATGTACAGGACCAGCAGGAGAAAACAGAACCCTGTCCTCTAGGCTTTTCCCTCTGACTTTGTATCACAGAAAATACATTTGTAGGCATACTTTTCTACTAAATCCCAAACAAAGAAATGAAACTACTTATTCTAGAACTCTATGCCAACTGTTCTAGCAAAACTCATAGTCTAATGTTAAGAAATCTGTAAGTGATGTGTAAGATATAATTACCCTTTCAGTGAGCAGGTGAGGCAATTCCTTTTCTGTAACACACTCCTCTGGAATCTTCAGCATGAGGAAGAATGTTTTGTTTGATGATAATTCACGTATTTCATTTTCATCTTCATCAACATAAGTTACTAACGAGTGGGGGCAAAAATAAAAATAAAGGTAAACACATGTAAAATAATAAACTTACTTAGATTCTGTTGACTGCTATTCTTAAACCTAACAATGAACACTCATGGAAGACAAATCCTGGGTCCACTAAGCAAATATAAGAAGGAATGCCTTCTTTACTATACTAAATAGAATAAAAGACAGGAGCTAGCCTCCACTGTGATACAAAATATTGCTTTCTTAAGCAAAGGGATCTGAGATGCCACTGAATGTAGACTGGAGAAAAATCCAGAAGGAAGTAGTGGGGAAATATGAACATCTTTGTTAAACTAAGCTTGCCTGTACACAGGTGTCAGGGCAGGTAAGGGGTGGTAGGTTACAGGAAGTAGTCTCAAGGAATGTCATTGAGCTACCTTCAAGTTTTGTGCTATTGAAGACCATGATGAGAAAGTGACATCATCAGCCAGAATGGATGTGAGCCCTTGTCTGTATGTTTCCCCAGGAGATGGGCATGAAGTCATCGCTCTAGCTTATTCCCACAGGAGAGGAATGTTGACACACTCTGTTTGCAGAAGGGAAGACAAACTGCACTCCAAGCCCCAGGGCCTGCAGGAATTACATTCTTAGGACAATGAGCTCTGTGTTGCTTGTGTTCTAATAACTGCTTGCTAATTGATTTTTAAACAGTTAGAGCTAAAGGAAAACCACGCAAAACCAGAAGCTGACACTAATGTGCTCATTATGCTCCCCTGGCTCCATGCCAGCCTCACAGGCTGGGCCACACGGAGGCCACCTCTCCATCCTGAGAAAGGCGTGGGTAGGAGAAGATCCAGGTGCTCACCAACTCAAATCCCATGATTCAAACCTAACAAAATCAGCCTCTTTTACTGGACTTTGAAAAGCCATCATGAAATAAATTCAGTGTTTGTGATGGAAAAGGCAGGTAAAAAGTAAGAATTCTCAGCCTCCTGATGCTTGCCACAGTCTGTGCTCTTACATTGACTGTATAGAAGGAGGAGACAAAGTAAACCTACCCCATGTATACCTCAGACTGTGCCTGATCTGTACTGTGAATGGGGAGACATGGGGTGGAAGAAAAGAAAAACAAAAGAATTCTGATACTTTTCCCTAGGGAAATATGAAAAAGTGAGACATTGGGGCAAGGAGTATAACATTGCCAGTCTTAGAAAGGCCTGCTTAAGGTTGGTATCTGGCAAGAGTCTGGGAGCTCAGATTTTGGGAAGGTTCTGAACATTCCCTGATCAGGTTGGGCCACTGTGTCTCAACTGTTTACATATACAGCATTGCTAATATCTTCGTTCCTTCTGGGAGTCTGAAATTTGGTACATGCTAAGCAGAGGCTGCCATTATGATCAACTACCAGTGAAAACCCTGAACACTAAATGCCTAACGGGTGTCCCTAAAAAAATGACATTTCACATGTGTCATTACAATCATATTTATTAATTCAACTATATGTTGAGTTCTGTAAGCCCTCCTAATAGTCTAGAAGTGGTTTTGGGGAATCCTGACTCCCACATCCTTATTTGTTGTAAGTCATTGCATTATTTTGTTTGATGATGTAAGTCAGACTTTCATAGCAAAACACATACAAATATAGAAAATTCTAACAAAACAAAACAACAAATCCTAATAACTCTTTGCTATGGTTTGGATCTTAAATGTCCTCCAAAGGTCGATGTGTTAAATCTTGGATTCCAGCTGATGATGCTGCTGGAAGGTGCTGTTAGGGGATGGAGTTAGTGAAAAGAACTAGGTAGCTAGAGGCATGGCATTGAAGGGGAAATTTGGAAAAACCCTTCCCTTTCTCTGATTCCTGGCCACCATGAAGTAAAAAGCTTTGAAATACCATGTGACTCCCTGCCATGATGCTCTGCCTCACCATAGGCCCAAAGCAACAAGGCCAAGTGACATGGACTGAACTCTGAAACCATGAACCAAAACAAATCTCCATTTTAAGTTATCTCAGGCATTTCATCACAGTAATAAAAAGTTGACTGCTACAATCTTGAATCAAAAGGTTTTCCTCCCCTGTTTTATTTTATTTGCCTTATTTTTTTTTGCATGCTGGGGAATCACATGTATTAAATAATCTCTCTACCACTTAGCTACATCCCCAGTACCCCTTCATATTTTGTATTATATATTTGATATCTTAATGAATAGATAATTTGTATAGCACTTTTTATTATTTGTTACTTGTTCTTGCTTATTCCCTTTCATCCTTTTGTTGTTATTAACATATCTAAAACCATTCTCCATGTGCATGGAATTCCTTAAAAAGAATAATGACTTCATAATATTCATACTAGGCTCATTCATTGTTTTAAAATCTGACATTTGGTGTTTTCAGATTTTTTATTGCTGGAAATAATACTACAATGCACAATTTTGAGCTCTAATCTACCAGATAAACTTCTGTAGTAGATATCAGTGCCTCAGAAAGGAACACAGGGGATGCTGCTAGAGAGTGTATCAGAAATTCTGATAATGCAAGCACACTAGGAAGAGATGCCAAGTTGGAAAAGAGCTCTCCAATAATGTCTGTAATGACACATACTTAACTTGTAGTATCTAAATAATGAATCTATTTGGGGAGGGGGGGGTTGCTGGGTTTGAACTCAAGGCCTTGTGCTTTCCAGGTTGGCACTCTACCATTTGAGCCACAGAGCCACATCCCCAGCCTAAATAATGAATTCATATCAAGACTTGGCTGAATAATTGTGTTCATCAAAATAAAAATAATCTGCACAGATAAAATTAACATGGGTGATATTTTCCACGTGGAGAAAATTGGTTGAAAATCACAAAAACATATACAATATGTGGGAGGAACATGATAACAGCTCTTCAATTGGAATACAGTGCATGAGAGGCAGGCCTTAAATGCTAGATGCTGTCAGAAGGTATTGGAAAGTTGTCGGATGTCTCCTGGGAATAAAGTAGAGGCTGGTGTTTACAGGAGGTCACCTGTGCAATGAAATGGAACAGGAGACTGGAGGCAGAGATGTCACCAGGCACAAGATTGGGAGAGATTGATTTTGACTGAAAGTGGTGGGAACAGGGAGGAAGGAAAGAAGGGAGGGGAGGAGGGAAGGAAGGAAGGGAGGGGAGGAGAGAAGGAAGGAGGGAGGGAAGGAGGGAAGGAAGGAGGGAGGGAAGGAGGGAAGGAGGCAAGGAAGGAGGAGAGGGAGGGAGGGGGAGGAAGGAAGGAAGGGAGGAGAGTGGGAAGGAGGGAGGAGAGGAGAGGGAGAAGAAAGCCCAAGATAGTAAAAACAAAAGTGGCTTCATAGGAGCCAGGCTTAGTTTAAATCCCAGCTTCATTATTTATTAGCCATGTGACCTTGAGCAAGTCAGTTAAACCTCCAAAACTATTTTCTCAGCAGTATGTCAATACTTACATTGTAAGTGAGTAAAAATGAAAACCAATGCAAATAAAGTATCCAGCATGGAGCCTTACAGTGTATGGGAAAGTTGCTATCAAAATACTACCAAGGAATGATTGATAAGATTTTATCATAACCTAGTATGTAAGAGAAGAAATCAAAAATGGTTCCAAGATGCCAAGCTTGAGTAACAGGAAAAATAATAGCTGCTGTACTAAGAATTAAGTACAAACACTTTGCTGTGCATTTTATAGATATTTTCTCACATAATTCTCAACTCAATCCAATGGGTTAAATATTATCATTTCCATTTTTTAAATGAAGGCATTGAGGCATAGACAACATTTATAAATTGTTCAGGTCAATAAACTAGTAAGTTTTAGGGACAAGGTACATTTATAGAGTCAGTTTCAGAAATCACATCTTACAACTGTGAAGCAATTTGCTTAAAGTTACAATTGTATGACTGGATGGTAGCAGAGCTGAAAAAAAATGTGGTCTCCTAATTCATGTTGAAATGATAAAGGGTGAGTGAATTGGGGAAGAGGGTATGCTACAATCTGAGTGTCTGTATTCCCCCAAAATTCAAATGTTGACACCTAAACAGTACTATGATAGTCATGAATGAGATTGGTACCCTTATAAAAAGAAGCCCCAGAGTGCTGCCTTCCACCACTTGAGGGCACAGATAGAAGGTGTGGCCTATAAACCAGGAAGCAGACACTCAATATACACCACATCTGTTGATCTTAACATATCTGAAGCCATTCTCCATGTGCATGGAATTCCTTAAAAGGGATAATGGCTTCATAACGCTGATCAACATAGTTGATCTTAGATTTCTCAGCCATCAGTACTGTAAGCACTGTTCTTTCTAAGATATTGAGTTTGTGGTATTTTGTTATGGCAACCCAAGCAGACTAAGACAGGATAAAAGGTATAATAGTTGCACCATGAACAATGATTGAGATGATGATAGTTATTTCTAGGAAGAGCTATCTAGCAAAGAATATCTCTAAAATTCAGGAAAATTATGCGGTTGTACATTCAGGAATAGCAATGACTGCTTCCCTGGAAGTGAATAAGCTTTTCATATTGAAGAATGTGAAAAGTAAGAAACTTGAAGACAAGTCTCATATACTCACAGTGCAGGGGCCAAAAGCAAAACTAGCAAGAAAGACGTGAAGTCCGGGAGTTCTGTAGACTCAGAAGTGTACAACCTAGCTGACAGAGAGGAAGGCTGCAAGGACAGAAATTGGGGGAAATTGAATTTCGTTGTTAAGACAGGTGGTAGTAACCTTGGTAAGGACTATTTGGGACCATTGAATGTAAGGAGTTTTAGGAGTAAGCAGGCACAAGACACAAGTGTAGACGCATCTTTCTAGAAGTTTGCCTATGAAAGAAGAGAGAGAGAAAAAATATCTAAACGAAGTAGCAAGAATCCTGTGACAGACTAGTGAAGGAAAGATGAGGCTAACACCCATAAAGAGTTGAGAAGAACCTGAGGATGCTTAGAGCTGAAGATCTCTGGCCAGAAAGTGGAAGGGGTTCTGTGGGAATAACATGCAAGGAATACAGTCTTGGCGGGGTGGAAACATTTCAGAGATTTGAAGGAAAGACTCACAAGTGAGAATGCAGAGACAGTTCAAGGTAATGAGTCTTCAGAGTTGCTATTATGTCCTGTCCTGAAGAACTTGGTAGGGTATAGCTTGTTAATGCAATCTACCTAGGATTTCCCCATGAGTCACCCTACATCAGCAAGCTTTTCCCTGTGAAAACTGTCAGTGTCCCAGGACCGTGGGAAATTGAAAGATATAGTTCTTACTCTCAACTGAAAGGTGAAAGAAATCTATTCAACATAGCATCATGTAGAAAGTCCCTGCTGATACATCAGCACCATGCATCCATTCCCATGGAAAGGCCTGTGATTAAGAGAATGAAAGGGGCAAACAGGAATCTGTAATACTGAATCCCCAGAGTACTGTAACTGTATCATATTTTTCAGCATCCACCTATTTGTCACAACACTTTCCTTAGTAAGTAAGGTGTTTACTGGAGGTCTCTTCTTTCCCTGACTAAGCCAAGTTAGTGAAGAAAGGAGAACCTTTTAGGAAACTTAATTGAGTCTCCAAATTATCCAAAAAGAAAATGACTTCAAGACACAAAAGAGGGCTTTTTCCTCTTTACCTCTCACTCTAAGAAATTTATAATTCCTCAGGGAGAGAGAGAAGAATCCGCTAATACCATTTCCCTAGGAAGCTGGGACAAAACAGAATTCTAGGGGCTCTGCCCATATGGCTATTGTTTAAAATATCAATGTAAAGTCACATGTATTGGTGCATGTCTATAATCCCAGATACTCAGGAGGTAGAGGCAAGAGGATCAAGAGTTCCAAGCCAGAACAGGCAAAATGAGACCCTAGCTCAAAAAAAAAAAAAAAAAAGACAATGTCAACTGTTTAGTCTGGTGGAGTTCTGGCATTTTTCCCTGTGCATACGCAGTCTGTACTTCATGCTGAAGTTGAGCTATGACCTTGAACCCTGAATCTGTCATCATTTGAATGCACACCAAGGGCAGAGGAATGGGCAAGCTCACCCGAGGTGTAGGCAATAAGTGGTGCACAGTCTGTATAGAATTAGGGATGACAATAAAACCATCTATTTTTTTTTTTGCTCTGCTTCAAATATCACCACATGCTGGCAAATCTTAATAATGGCAGTGTTAATTTAAACCTCCCTACTGGGCACCCTGCCCTGGGTACCCTATGGTCCTCTCAATCTAGTTACCTTTTCAGTTCTGGGATGCATTTGCTCTCCTGCTCTGCATCCACTCAAACTGCACATTTATTACCACCTTTGCTTCCTAACTGGTCTGAGGACAATAAAGCTTTGAGACAAGAGGGTCAGGTGTGGAGGAAGGAAGGCAGGAGAGTAGCAAATGTAGTTCCTGAGGAACCTTAGTGTCAACAAATCCAGACAGCCAAAAGCAAGCCCTTGACTCTGCTGACACTGCCCTTTCCCAGACATTTTCCACACAGTACCTGGAAGTTCAACAAATATTTCGTTCCTATCAGTGGGCTTGGCGATTAGGCAGTGGCTGATTACTGAAGATTGTCATCTTAGAAGTGCCTATAGAGCTGCTCTGAGGTTGGGACTACAAAGAGAGGAACCCCTATTCCACTCTGTTTTACCTATTGCATCTCCCACACACCAATAATTTTTCCCTGGATTTTTAGTGATTTGTCAAAATGATTTCAGTAACATAACCTTAAAATCCTAAAGGTGAGTGATAAGACTACTATTGTTTGGATATGAAGTGTCCCTCACAGAGTCATGTGCTGAATGCTTAATTCCCAACTGGTGGAGATATTTTGGGAGGTTCTAGAAACTTCAGAAAATGGAACCTAGCTGGAGGAAGTAAATGGTGGGAGGATACACAGATGTTGAGGGTATCTTGTCCCTGGTCCCTCTTCCAATCTTGCTCTCTGCTTCCATTTGTCCCCTACTACATGCTTCCATCACCAGGATGTTCTTCCCAAGCACCTGGGGTCGAGCAACTATGGACTGAACCCTCTGAAACTGAGCCAACATAAGTCGTTCCTATTTATATCTGGTGTTTCACCACAGCAACACAAAAATCACGAATACAAAGACTGTAAAAAGTATGTCAAATCATTTTTAAAATGCAAGTAAGAAAAAGACTAAAAGAAAACAAAATATTGATAATATAAAGGTCTTTTATGCATGTGTTTTATTTTTAAATTCAAAGCCATTTACCAGTTTTTAGTCTCCCATGACTCTCCCTGCAGGCCCCAACAACTGAGGCCTGAGGTGCCAAGTAAAATAAAAGTATTCCCTTGATTTTAAGAAATCAATCTCTCTTATAGCATTAACATATGCTAAAACACAAATTTACCATCAAAGTAAAAATGAAGTTTTCATTTTAAGTATTAAAAAATTCTTCTGTGAATGTTACACATGATCTTTCACGTCTCCAGAAAAACTATTGAGGAAAATTGCTCTTTGTGAGCTGAAGAAGTCACATGACTTTTTAAGACTGGAAGACAGATCTTGGGTCTTGTGCTTTAGAATCCTGAATATTAAACCATCTCTGTTTTGTGATAGGCCCCAGATACTACCAGATAAATCAGTCAACTTTCAGGATTGCATCAACTCATTGTGATAGGACAAGCCCGTGTGATTCAACTTCAGTTTCAGCATCTCTGTGTGGGAGTTTACATGAAGAGGGAGTGTCAATGATCATAACAATATTATTGTCTTCCCAATGATAGAGGAAGTGCAGCACCTCTTATTAGCTTCTTCCTACTTAAAACTAGCTGATGAGCTCAAAGAACCATTCATCGCACCAAAACAATACCTAAGTAACTAAGTAGGCATGGAACCTCCTGCAAAATTGGCTGATGTCATCGAAGTTTTTCTGATCCTTCAGGGACTATGAAATCTTCAGACAGGAGATTAAGTGAGGAGCAGGAGATTGGGTGGCAATTGTACTTACTGAGGAAAATTCCTACGAACTCCCTCTGGAAAGACTCAGGAGCCCCCAGTCATTGTTGTCATTCTGTGACTGGGCTTGCTATTCAGAGCCTGACTCATTTCTAATCCTCACACAGAGGCCAGATCACAAATCTCCAGCTTCAGATGAGCCCCTTCTCTACCACCACCAAGTAAAACAATTTCCTTCTTTACTATTTTGAGATAGAAATGATTGCCTACTGGAGGGTGCTATGCTTATGAATCATAAAATCTTTTCAAAAGTGAAAAACCATAAAAAATTGCTAACAACCTAAAGAGCCTTAAAATAGTATAGAAGGCTACACCATGCAGCCATTTAACAAATGATGTTCAAAACAAATTTGTAATGACTTAGAAAAATTATCTCAATATAATATTGAAATTCTAAGGTAGGCCACAGTCTATGAAAAATCTTATCTCAAAATATTTTAAATAATTTTAATTAATTAATTAGTTAATTAAAATTACTTAAAATTTTTAACACAAGTAAGACTAGGAGAAAAAAGTTGACAAAACTATTAAGAATAAGTGGGTTTTATGAGTAACTAAACATGTATTGCTTTTAAATTCAAAATAAATAGTAAAATGAGATAAAGTAAAGTATATCATTAGTGAGATGTAAGTTTTATAAGTTTTTGTTTTATACACACATACAACACAAATATAATAGTTACTTCTAAAACAGCTTAAAATAATGACAGCTTATAGACATATGGATCTATAGCATTTTTTAAAAACTCATGTGTATCTCTCATGCACACAACATATTCCAAGCCAGTTTTTAACTCATGTTATAAATATTGAGTAACAATGAGTATGTTTTTCATTTCAATGCAATTTGCAAGCATTAAACAAGTTTTTAAGCTGTGTCAACTTGGACACATTGAAATCCTCTTACCTCCAGTAAGACATAAACCTATGATGATCACTATAATGAGACCTACGAAAATGGAGACGATGACCATCCACAGTTTACACCTGCCAATCACATTCTTATTGCAGGAGCTCCAGGAGTCTTCCTTGTTAGCCTAGAAAGCAAAGGGTAGTCATTTAGTTTCAACAAATATACTCAAATACTTACTAAGGGGCAGTGACACAGAAATGAAGGCAGCAGGGTCCTGACCTCAAGGGGCTATACTTTACTGAGTTAAGTTTACAAGAAGCTGTATCAGGAGCAGAATAGAGCTTCACAAAGAAGTTAGCAAGAAATTTTTCTGAGAGCTCTGAGGTGGGGAAGATAAGCAAAATTTTGAAAGCTGTATTTTTTACAGTGTAAGTGCTATATAATAATTATACGTATTTATGGGGTTCGGTGTAACATTTTAATACCCATAAACAATGTGGAATAATTGTATCAGAGTAACTGATATATCCATTACCTCAAACATCTATCCTTTTGTTGTGTTAGAAACATTCCAAATCTTCTTTATAGGCTATTTTGAATGATGCAATTTGTTGTTATTAACAATAGTTAGCTTCCTGTCTATAGAACAGTACAAGTTATTCATCCCATCCAGCTATTCCCCTGTACCTGTAAATGATCCTCCACCATCCTTTCCTCCCTTACACCCTCCCCAGTCTCTGATAACCACCATTCTCTCTCCTGCTAAGAGATCAATTTTTTTAGCTTCCACATATAAGTGAGAATATGCCATATATTATAAGATCAGTTTTTAAGGTATTCCAAACCCAGGAAATAGTATCCATAGGTTGATTCATGATGTAACTGGCCAAAAGACTAGACTGAGGATTGGAATGTGAGTGTCAGAGGCAAGTAATGAATGTTAAGATAATGAAGGGTTGGAGCAGCCTGCAGAGGGTTTGTGTGCTACTCAGCTTTGCCTTGCTGTGACAAAATGCTTGATAAAACCAACTAAAAGTAGAAAAGATTTATTTTGACACATGGTTTCAGTCCATAGCCAGCTGATTCCATTGCCATGGACCTGGGGTAAAGCAAAATATCAGTGGCGATTAGAGCGTGTGGTAGAGGCCAGGAAGCAATGACATGGTAAGAAAGGGACCAGGGACAAGATACCCTTCCACGGCATGGCTCTAGTGACCCACTTCCTCCAACTAGGCCCCACCTCCTAAAGGTTCCACCATCTCCCAATGGTGGAATAAATGACATCAAAATTATGAATCTACCAATTCAATTCATTGAAGAAGTCAAGACATCATTATCCAGTCACCTTTCAAAAGCCCCATCTGTTAATACTTCTACATTAGGGACTAAGTCCTCAACTCATGGACCTGTTGAAGGTTTTAGAACACAAGAGCTAAGCTGAAAGCTAATGCAAGGCTCTGAGTTAAAAAAAAAAAAAAGAGAGAGAGAGAGAGATAGAAATGATGTATAGTTTGAACTGGAAATTGGACACACCAAGAAAAAGCAAAATGGCTACTGCTATAGCCCAAATTCAATATAAAACAAGGTCCAGAAAGGGAAATAAAGGGACAGATGCAAAAGACAGTAGGAAATAACCTACAATGTGTGTAATGAGGCAGAGCCTGAGGTCAAAAAATAATCACAATTGCCATGGTTTACTGAGCACAGTGTCATTTCACTTAACCGTAAACAGTCCTTCAAGACATTTATGAGCCCATTTCAACTCGTGGGTCACACAGATTAGCCAGGACCAGTCCCTTCAGTGTGCCACTGCAAAGCTTTCACACTCTCACTTCTGGACACAGCCTCCTGCCATCCCAGTGGGGAGCTCCAGGTTATGAGTGTACCCAGCTGCTCTACAGGGGCCCCACTCTCAGTGCCACCACCCGCCAGAGAAGGTTCTGTGACTCTTCTACTTGTCACTGAGCCATTAAGTAAGTCCTACATGAAGATCATGTGATTGGGGAAAAAATGTGTTTCTGTATGGGATACAGAAACATGTATGGGATACATGTGGATTGCAATCCAAGGCATATTACTCAAAAGCATGTGAACTTTGAGCAAGCTACTGAAACTTATAGGCCCCAATATCCTCAACTTCAAAATGCACATGCTCCTCAATTGACAATGGTTTACATCCCACTAATCCCATAAGAAATTGAAAATATTATGAATTGAAATGGATTTAATACATCTAACCTAGTGAACATCACAGCTTGGCAACACAGCGCACTATAGAATATCAGTTGTTCACCTTCATGATTGCATGGCTGACTGGGAGATGCACTTAGCTGCCACTGCCAGGCATCACAGGAGCATCTTACTCACATATCTCTAGTCCAGGAAAATAGCATAAGTCTAAATTCAAAGTACCGTTTCCATTGAATGTGTATCACATTCATGCCACTATCATCATGTCAAGAGAAGTATAGGTAGAACCATGGAAAACTGGGGACTATCTATATAAATACTAAGTCTTGCTCACATGTCTGTTGTAAAAAGTAGAGAAAATGTAACAAAGCATCTGCTAAACAAATATGAGGGGCTCAACTGAGGGAACTGCCATTGTTCCTCCATCATTACGTGGAGCACTTACCTGTCCCACAAAGCAGCAGCAGGCACCCCAGGGGGCTCACTGCTGAATTGACCCCTTGCTTACTTTCTCTTCCATCTTTATTTTGGTGATGGCCATCAGAAAAGGAAACTATTAGTGCACATTAGGACTTACATTCAATGTATGGAATTAGAGAACATCATCTTAAGTAAAGTTAGTCACGTTCAGAAAGCCAAAGGCTACATGTTTTCTGTCATATGTAGAATAAAGACCTAATACAAATACAATAGTATTATGAAAAACAGGTCACACTAAGGGGAGGTCATCTATAAGAAAGGGATGGCAAAAGAAGGAAGTTAAGAAGGTGAATGTGATGTACTTCCTATACAAGAATGAATTTAGAATTTTACCTTAGTAGACTAAGGTAAAAAGGAGAAACAGAGGAGATGAATCAATTTGGGTTATAATACGTGTGTGAGGTGTGTGTGTGTGTGTGTGTGTGTGTGTGTGTGTGTGTATGTGTGTGAAACTCCCTGTATAGCTATCTTAAACAAACAAAAATGTCATTTTTTTTAATATAAAAAGAACAGAAGGGCACAACAGGTCCTGCCTCAGGGTTTAGAGGGAGAGGATGGGGGAGAGGGTATAGGAGGGTGACTATGGTGCAAATACTGTGTATACATGTGTGTAAATGGAAAAATGAGACCTGTTGAAACTATTTCAAGAATGGGGGGAGGATAAAGTAGAATGATAGAGGAGGTGAATTCAACTATGATGATATATTGTAAGAACTTTTGCAAATGTCACAATGTACCCCCAGCACAACAACAACAACAATAATAAAAAGACTATAATAATAATTTTTTAAAAGTTCCCCAGCCTGGCCCCACCACAGAATCCCTTGGGGAGGATTTTAACTGGCTTGGGCTGCAAACATACCTAGAGGACTGAAATGTAAGTGGGTCTGGGCACTGGCTTGTCCCAAAGGGCAAACTGCTTTTCCATGGCCAAGAGCACTGTTCTGAAGCCTCCCACCTTCAGGAGCCAAGCCATGCTTGCCTTCCCACCTGCCCTTAGTAAAGCCTCCCAGGAGGTGAGCTGTCCTGTCGCTTACCTGCTGCTGCCACTGACACTCCTGTCTGGTTTCATGTTCAAATACAAACAGAGACTAGCCTTATCTTCCACAGTAAATTGAAACCACTTAAAGGGAGGGGTGTTTATTGAACTTCCCCATTCTTATGTCCCACAGTCATGCTTTAAGAATGTACTTTGAAAACTTCTAGAGGAGGGGTCTTGGACCCAGTGTGTCACAGTGTGTAGGGAGCAGTCAGAGGAAAACCCTCAGTTAAATGGGTTTCTGGAGTCCTGGGAGGGGCCACCACTCACCCCCACTCAAGACTGCAGAACAACACCAAAGGCAAAGACTCAAGAAGACCCATGGGGGAGAACATGTTGCAATACAAATAATCTAACTTTTCAGGAAACAGAGGAAACACATCAATTCACATACATAACTCCTGAGACCAAAATTTCCCCATGCTTTTTTCAGTCCTTATATGACAGGCAGTGAAGCCATAAAGATGAGCACAAAAAGAAATATTCTGGATCTCAAATGGGCCAGAATGAGTGTCAATGCCACCTGTGCCTTCATTCAAATTGTCTCTTAGAGACCAAATATTAGGACTGTGGTGGTTTGGGATGACCACTAAATACTCTGTGACTTACTAGAATGGATTAGCTCAGAATTCCACACAACCTCATCTATAAAAAATGCCTCTTTGTGCCTCTTTGTGTCATCCTTCCCTGCTGGGTCCTCAGCCCCAAGAGCAAGCCCACTGACCATTTTCCTCTCATGCCTAATATTCACAGACTTTAGGTCATTATAAAACAGCCCTTCAGTCACTCCCAAACAATAGAGTGCAGCACTCAGTTGTCTGCACATTTGAGTCAAGTGAGGAATTAATATTTGTTAGAAATGCTCCCAGGAGATTACACATGTCCCAAGGGGAAAATTCTCTGAACCAGTAGTTACATGCTGTCTGTGCTATATGAGCATCCTCTCAAAACCAGATCATGGAGTCACACCGCCTCCTTCACTGGCTTCTTTCTGTCTTGCCCAATTTCTAGGTCATGACAGGACACAGGCAGATTCTCCCGCTCAGTGCCTGCCAGAGATACTTGCAACTGCACCTTACATTTTCTGACTACACTACATGCTTTGGAATGTGGGGGGTGGCGGGGGAACCTTTCTCTAAACACTCTTCCATATATTCACATCCCTCTTTAGGCAAAAGTCTAAATCCACACCCAGGATCCTGCCATAATGCAGGACTACCTGTCTGTTGAGTCTGCAAAGCTTTTCTTCCTGGCTCAATCAGGAGCAGATGTCTATAGATCAGGGGAGATTTTCTTAGTACACAGCAAAATCTTTTGTACTTTTTAGTCTTAATTGTGGCATTTAATCCACTTCTCTGACCCAAGTACAAAAGAGTCAGTTGATTCTCGTCCTCGACTGAATACTGTGTAGCCATGGAGCTAATTTTCAGCAAGCCCATTCAAATAAGCCTGGCTTGCCTCAAACTATCAATTTACTGGTCTATTATTATTCTAACGATGCTGCCATCACTTAAAGTGGCTCTGGGGCTGCTGACTCAGAATGAAACATAAAAGAACACCAGTGTCTCTCTATCACCTACAAATTCTTTTTTGATTTTTTTGACCCAATAATATTGATGCATTTATAGTGGCAGCAGGTCAAGTGAAGTTCAGTAGCTTATTATTCTTTTTCCATAACCCCCAAACCCATACTGAGACAGGAAACAAAGTTCTAATGCCTTCCTATACTCTCCCGCTCCAGCTCTTCTAAGAAGGAAGATATACAGGATATGGGATGTCTTCTTCCCAGTGCTCTGGCTATTCCCTACTCCTCACCCATCCATCTACCCACCCACATGTAATTCCTTCATCCACCAGATGTGCCACTCAACTCCTCATTTTTCACTTAAATTACCTAACTAAAAGGGACCTACCTTATAGAAATTAGTAATATAGAATTTATAATTTAGGCAACTATACATAAATAAGGATAAAATATGTTTTGATGATTTATTTATAGAAAGATAGAGAAGCAGTGGAAGTAGCCTAGATCTGAGAGCTCAAAAACCTGAGTGCGAACTTGCAAGGCACTACTAGATGAACCTAAGCACTTTGGTGGCTTCTCTGAGCCTCAGTTTCTTCACTCAGCTCCTTCATCTGTCAGTTCAGAACACTAACACCTTTATCCTAAGATGCTGTGACAAATAAATTTACCTATCACAAGTATCTGAAAATGATAGGTACAAAGCACATGGATAGTGAAAACACATGGATGTAAGCTACGTCTCAAAACTGGAAATCTTATTACAAAGTCTAAGCACCTTTGCATAAGATTCTTAGTGTCTGAGTCTTGTGATTGTGCTAGCCAACGCTTAATATTCCCCACATTAACTGACTTTTCAAGATGAAATACACTTCAACTTATTCTATAGAATCACAGCATGACCAGCACATTAGGTGAGGGATGGGGTTTTTGTTTTGTCTTTTTCCTCTTGAGGTTTTCCCCATTCAAGTCTTTCGAGAATGCTTTCCAAGTTCTCAGGTAGCCCTACACCTTCACTCCATTCTGTCAGTCACCACAGCTTTCCTATTTGGTGACCAACAAATCTAAATTACAAGGAAGTCTGGCTATCTGTACACATCTGACTAACAAGGAAGTCATTAGAACATGAAAGAGCAATCTCTATGAGGCAGGTGCTGAACAATTATAAAGTACTGATACGCAACATGAATTTGGCATGTTCTACTCCCCAGGCCTCACTGAAGCCTGGAAGGGCACATTACATCACCACCATCTGACAGCCTTACCTCTGAAACACTCTTTTTGATTGGTAAAGCTATTACCAGAGCAATGTTGTCTGCATTCAGTGTCAAACCACAGAGCCTTTGGGGAGTCCTAAGTCTAGTTAATTGTGAGGCAAGTATTCCCAGTTCCCATGCCTAGACTCTGCTCTGGAAGATCCAGATAGCAAGTTCATGGTTGTGGCCACTTGTCCTCATCTTTCCAAAACTTCATTCTTCTGCAGTCTTTATTTCATTCAAGCATAAGGCACCAACTTACTTTCCAGGGTACCTATGAAAGCAGACTTTACTGAATAGTATTTCTATCAGTGTGGAGCAAAAGCAATCCTTTCAACTTTTGAATTTCCTGCTTATCCCTAAAATCAACAGTTGGACAGCAAAGGGGTGGAAGTAGAGGAACAGGGGTCTAGAAATATCAGGCTAAAATGTGTATGTAGGGAGCTCTGTGTACTCAGTAAACCTCAAGCCAATCTTAGGGGTTAATCAAAAAGTTGGATGGCTCATAATTCCAACTCTTGTGTTTTACAAGTATTTCATCTGAGTGAATAATGTTCTGTCACTCCTAGGGGTGAATCAAAAGAGCTCTGCTTGAACATCCACAGCAACTTTCTTTTCCCCAATGAAAACGAGGCAAAAGCAAAGAAAGCTGGTCTAGTCCTTTGGGACAAGACCTTTGAAACTATTTTACCTTCAACTGAGTGGCAAGTTCACCCCCACCCACCCACAGGCCAGCCTCAATCCCTCTTGTTCTTTCTGTTTTGTCCCCTCTGCCCTCCTATCTCTCTTCCTGCAGGAATCAAATGGTCAAGCTAGGAGAAAAAAATAGAAAGTGCTTTGGGGATAGAGGGGGGATGAGACTGGGTAGCAGATGGGGATAGTGAGATAGGGAGAGGGGAGAAGGAGAAGAGAGGGTGAGAGGAGGAGAGAGAGGGTGACAGAGACAGAGTCAGGGACAGAGAGATAGGAGAGAGACGTGGATGAATATATCACTCTCTTCTCTCCAGGAAGGAAAATAAAAGTTACATAACTTTCAAAAACCACCTATCTCCGGGGATTCTCTCTCTGAAGAGAGAAGGGGACACACTTCATCTCCAGAATTCCTAAAGTGCCACCCAGGCGAGAAGTCAGAGGGATCAGAGGAGTCGGAGGGGCCCAGGGCGGGCTCTGGGCAAATGTCATTCTGTGGCTGCGAGTTTTTAGAATATTCCTGCGCACAACACCCTTGTTCTGGGTCTGGGACGCGCGAAGAGCTGACTGGGAACCCAAAACTCCACGGGTGCCAGGCTCCTGCCGTGCGATCGGGCGACCAGCGCAAAACGGCCAGCGCCAGGGGACCTTACCTCGGCGGTGCAGGGGTTCTGGGCCGAAGAAGGCAGGACCTGGAGGGCTCCATTGAGAGGCGTCTGCTCGTCGGGAGAAGGCAGGACCTGGAGGACTTCACTGAGAGGCGTCTGCTCATCCGGCTGCCCCTCCAGCACCGAGAGTTCCAGCTCATCTCCGGGCGCTGGGGACGTGGCCCCGTCCATGGGACCGCAGAGGACTGAGTGGCCCCGCGGGAGGCAGGACACACACACCTGAGGGTGCAGAGTCCGAGGTGCCTCCCTGCCTCTCACTCCACCCACCGAGCAGGGCGCGCTGGTAGACCTCGGGCGGTGGGCGGGGAGGGGAGGGGAACCCGGTAAGGGGAGAGGACGGCAGGGCAGGGGCGAGGCAGGCGAGTGGCGGGCAGCTGGAGGTTCTCCTCGCCCCTGCAGGGTAGGCTGGGACCCAGCCCTGTCGTGGGCTCCCGAGCAGAGGAGGGCTGTTTTTCTGGTTTGTTCAGGGCGCTGCCTGTGATTCCTTTCGCTGTTGGTGCAGACGCAAAGCAGCTCAGCTTAGGGCCTAGTTGGGTGCAGGGCTGTGGCAAGGAAGGGATGGGCGGGCAGCACAGAAGACAGTTTGCCTTCTACCCCTAGGAGTGCCCTTGCTGGGGCTTACCGCAGTCCTTGCTGTGTTTCAACAAACATCTGCGGCAGGGCGCTGGTGGCTCACGCCTGTAATCCTAGCTACTCAGGAGGCAGAGATCAGGAAGATCTCGGTTGGAAGCCGGGGCAAATAGTTCGCCAGACCCTAGCTCGAAAAACCCATCACACACACACACACACACACACACAAAAAGGGACGGGGGACGGGGGGGGGGGGGGTGAGTAGCTCAAGGTGCAGGCCTTGAGTTCAAACCCCAGTACCACAAAAAAAAAAAAATAAATATACACAACTATGAAACATCTACGGAGTGCCGGGCATCATGCTAGGGTTTGAGTGTATGGACATGAATAATACACAGGTACACCCTTCCTCTAACAAGTCCAGAGTCAGGTGTGGGGGGACAACAGACTCTAGAACCCGGCTACCTGAGTTATTTCCCAGGCAGAGAGGCCCCCAGCTGTGAGACCTCCACCTTCATATTTCTGTGTCAGCTTATCCTCATCTGGAAAGTGATCATAATGTTAGTTCCTGACTAATGGAGTGGTTGTCAGGACAAAAAGAATGGATGGAAGTAAAACATTCAGAACAGTGACTCTAGAATATGGCGCAAACTCATAAATGTTGGTGATTATTATTTATCTTTGAAGGGAGGAGTCACAGATATCCCCCCTCCCAGGAGAAAGCACATGTGGGCATGCATCCCACATACAGATAATCTCCTCCACATCCTGTGTATAGCACTGAACTTCTGACTCAGTGATCCTGGAATGATGTTTGCAAAAGGAGGTGTGTGTTGGTCTAAAGACCTCACTTCTCAACCTTCTGTTCAGAGTCACCATGCTCCCTACTTCTCACCCTTCCCCCCAACACAAACACACACACCATTACTCTCTCTCTCTCTCTCTCACACACACACACACATACACACACACATACACTCACACTCACAGTCCCATTTGGGGCAACAGGAATCACATAAATAAGTTCCGTTTCAGGAGATGTTGACTTGTGTACAGAAGCCTGGCATTCTCAATGGCCACTCTCATCTCTGGTGCCTGCTACCAAGGTATCTGGACTCCATATGCCTGTTACAGGGGTCCTGTTAGCTGCAGTGTCACAGAGGCTGGCCAGCTCGGACTTTGTTCTATGTTCTAACAGGCAGATCCTGAGAAATGATCTCAGCTAGGGTTTTGAAGTGGCTTTTTAATGAAGAAGGGAGTCAACAAGGAACACTGAGGTACTCAGGGCCTACCAATAGCAGGGAGCTGTTAGCATTCGTAGGCCTAAAAGGAGTGGAACGTGATTAAGAACAGGAGCCACTGAAGAGGAAGAATGGTATTGACAGGATCTGTGGTGACAAAAGGATGCAGAATTGACCGGAAGCACTAAAAGCTGACACACGCCTGACTCCCATCCTTACCTTCGGCCCAGAAAACTCTTCTCATTGATTGCCTTGTTTGAATGCAGGAGGTCCGTGTCAATGGGAGGTTCCCTCATGACAGATGGACTATAACTATCTCATTTCCAAGCCTAGTTTCTCCATCCAGGGTTATCTACAATCTCCTTCACTCCCCCAGAGAATCAGGAACTATTCCTGTCACGCACACACTCTGAAACACACCTCCTAAAGTCCTTTGGTGCTAAGAAGCAAGATTTGTGTATTCTCTAATCTAGACTCAGGTAATTTTCAGAACTCTATCTGCCTAACTTGTGCTTCTATGACACCCTGGAAGGAGTATAGGTTTTGAAGGCAAGTACAACTGGGATCAAATTTAGACCAGCTATCTGCTTGTTTTAAGCAACTTGTTCAATGCCTATCAACCTCTTTCCTCATTGTAAAATGATTCCCATCCAGTAGAGTTAAAAGGATTAAGTAAAGTAATTAAAACATATAATGCTATGCCTGAAAATAGCAGGGTCTCAGTAAATGCTCCCTTACTTTCCATGACTGTAAGTATCTTTGTAACTAATACCCATCAACAGCAACCCTTAGCAGCCAGCACTAACACTTGATTCAGTGTTTTCATTTGATACTTTTTCTGCCCCATCCTGTTTTCCTAAGCACTGACATTTGCTGACACCTCCCAATATTATCTGAACAACTTAAATTCTTACCTGCAACCAGTTCCTGTTTTTTGGTAACTGCAAATTTCTTCATCTCCAGACAGCTGACCTGGAATGCAGATAAGCATCCCAACTCTACCTGAAGACTTTTCACATTCTGACAGTTTGACTACAAACTTAAGATTTATAATAAGTTAGAAGTGTTTCTGCCCAGAGGTACAACTAAGTTTAGATTCAATAAATCTTGCTGAAAGTTAAACATTTGTGAATAAAGAACCAAATTCTACCTACATCTTTTTTTGGCAGTTTCTCCAAAATTTTGTTCTATAGGCATAACTTTTTTAAAGTGTATTGTTATTTCACAAATAGTTCTCTGTCTTATAATTTATAATTATTAATAACTCAATTGCTTTAGGTTGTTCAAAGAATCAAATTTAAATAATATTTAAAACTTAAAACATTTGTCAAGATTTACTGAACACTGTAGGATTTTCAATTATGCTTTTCTTGTCATAGTACTTGCTCTTCTTCCTTCATCTTCTTTTGGAACAGAATAATTTCCCAAATAGTTATTATATAAGCCAAAATCATAAAGTAATATTGTCAAACTGATATCATCACCATTGCTCCAAAGCATTTCTTTACCTTCAAATAGATCTATGCCTGTTGAAAACACAGCTTGTACCAATAAATGAAGGACGGCAAGAAGTATTACTCTGAATGTTAACAGCTAGGTCAGCCACCCAGACTAATCAAGCAGGAAATAATTGAGAAAGAGTTGTTGGATGGCTTGTGATGTTTCATTTTCCAGTTTTCAAGGCACTGTGAAGTAGGGCATAAGTCCCTACGAATTCTTCCCTGTAATATTGCATATGAAATGTTCTTGTCTTTGTTTATGGGAGTCATTCACCTTCACTTAAACCAGTCTGGGCATTTGCCCCAATTCAAATCTTTCCAAAATAAAGTGGATATTTCAACATCGTTCAGATTCTAAAGACACATTTTTGGCATGAACTATCCAAGTAAGTTAGGTTGGTGTTTCTCAGCTTTTTCTCCACGTTATACTGCTGAGAACACATGTCCTTACATTAGAACTGATCCATGCACACAGTGTAGTGCAGATGTCCATTTCTCTGCTGAATTTAATAGAGCGTGCCAGCCCTTCTCCACTTCCTAACTGGGATCACAAACTCATGCAATTATTTTTTGTTTATTTTGTGAGTAGCAATTCTAGGCCTTAGAAATGATCATAAAGCAACAGTCACCTTGTACGTAGGTTACACACATACCAAGCAAAATAAATCTGTTATAAGAACTGTCAGCCCCATTTGCTTTTCTACACAGTGGATCCTTGTGAATTCAGTGGTACTTGGTCCTTTGAATTGTCCTACACTATGGCCAGTTTACTGAAACTTTAGGGAACTCTCAGAAAGGTAACATTCCCTCCCTCCCTCTCTCCTTCCTTCCTTCCCTTTTTTCTTTTTCTTTTTAGTGCTAGAGATTAAGTTCAGAGCCTTGGGAATACTGCTCCAACACTGTACCACTGTGCTATATCCCCACACCCCAAAGAAGTGTCATTATGATATCAGGAAAGTAGTTCTTTAACAAATCAAAATATTCAAAAATTGACTAAAAATATTCATTATCCCAGGGTAGTCCAGCCCATATTTCAGTCATTTCGTCTGATTTTGAAGATAACATGCTTTCTGTCCCTCCTGTTGCTGCAGCATCGTTTTTCTGAGGTCTCACACACTATTCTGAGCCCTGTTTGACAACAGCATTGTTATTGCTCCTTTGATTTTGTCCCGGGGAAATAATAATATTCTTTTTCTGCTATTTTCCTGCTTGGTGGTACTGTTAACTCTGGCCTCTATTAATGAAAAGATTATTTTGAGATCAAGTATGAAACCCTCTAAATCAAGACAAAATATATAAATAACTAGGAGATGCTGAGAGTGGATGGTAGATTTAAAAGTATGCAAGGCACTACAAGGCCTTGAAAATAAAAGAAAGTCTTGGAGATTGGGGTTTTATACAAGAACCAGAAGCCAGGTGATAATGTTTTTGAAAAAATTTACTTTCAGAGCATTCATCCAAAAATTCCTTTGCCTTTTCACTTTTGTCCACCACTACTGCAATCTCTGAGCTCCTTGTATGGACTTTCAGTCCAACTACCATGAAGCTTCATTGCTAAGCAGTCTACTGTTGCTAACCATTACTTTTGTTTTTGATTGTTTCCGGGAATACAACATTACTGTGCACCACCGCTGAAGAAGGGCCATTATGGCGCGATTAGGCATATATATTTCCTTGGGGTAGTTTTACGGAATACATATTAATCTGCCTGTCTGTCAATAAACAGAAAGTGTGTGCAGTCTTTCATTTCCAGTTGAAAAAAATGAAATTGCTCATTTTGATAATTACTGTATTCTCTTTAAAGAATCTATCAGATAAATCGCATTAAATATCCAACTGTTACAATTACAAAAGAGAAGGGACGTATTTGTGAATCCAGGGAACAAAGTTTGACACCCTTGTGTAAACACCAGGAAAGTTTGGTCTTCCACATCCATGTCCCCAGCTAACAATGCCAGTCAAAATCCACTTCCCATCACTTTTTCTTCGACAAGATAAAGGTCCACCTGAATCGCCCTGCACAAAAACATAAGTACGAATACATTTGTCTGATGACCATCAAGCTCATCATTAATGTGTCTAAAAGGTTGTGTTCAAAGTTCCTTTCTGACGTTTTTACCTAGCTAGTCACTATGCAGTTCAGGAAGAAATAGTGTGAAATTCCTAATATCACTTCATAATTTTAGAATTCTTACAATCAGAAAGGTAACTTAATTCAAAAATTTGATTCTTTAGACCAAGAATAGCATTGGAAGATTCTTGCAGGAGAAAACAACTTTCACATACCCCTAAACAAAAAATAAACCTCAGTAGTAGTGGTGGTGGTAGTGGTAGCAGTAGTAGTAATAGTAATGGCAGTAATGCTTAACATGTATTTAGTGTTATCTGCATGCCCAGCATATAGTTTTGGTCACAACAAACTTATGGTTATCTTGGAAGGTTGACTGCTATCTCTGGACCATGCAACTTCAGCAATTGGCTCACAGTCACAGAAAAGACAGAGATTCTGCCTAGTTAGCTGGGTCCAATGATGCAAACCTAACAGCCAGTAACTGAGTTTTCACATACAAACTATATTCACTTGAGAGTTTCTTCTGATACCTCAACTACAAAAAGCAAAGGCTGCAATAATTCAGTTGAAACATAATCCCTACTGTACTAATTCTTTCATTGTAACAACTACTGTATCTCAGAGGGTAGGTAAAGTTACAACTTAAAGGCAAAGACAAGAAAACAGTTCAAATTTGTCTCTGAATTCCACCTCCATAATTTTATACCTAATCAAGAAAATTTTGCCTAGTTGAGAAACTGGGATTTTTACTTATTGCTACACCAACTCTATAAGTCAAATTCATAAACCTTGATGGCTATGTGAAACAGAGCTATGTAACTGACCAGCTGCAAAAAGTACCCAAAACATTATAGCTTCAGCATTAGAGAGGCAAGGGTTCAGATCCCAGCCTTACTAGCTGTATGACCTCACTCTCTCTGTGTGTCAGTTTCCCCTTCTGTAAAATGGGTATAAAGTGATTTGAATAAATTTATATGACCTATATGTTTACCACAAAATAGGATCTCAGAAGATAGAAGTATTGTTACAATAAAACAAGTTTTGGGTCACCATTTGCTCAGGTTGAAGGAAGATGTAGGAACAGCTCCCACTGTCCTCCTTGTCCTCTGAATCATCTGTCTACTATTTGGTAATCATGCAGATATCTGCATAGATTGGAATCTCAAGCTCAGAGAAATATCCCCCACAAGGTGATCTCTCAGTGTATCACTTGTGGGACAAACCGGAGGCCTACATATGAGTTTTCTCTGTCCCCGTTCCCACTACTCTTCCCATCCCTTCTCCCCAGCCCGTGCTTCAGAGGTGTGAGTAAATGAAATGCTTGTAATTCAGAAGTACAATGGCTGCCACTGAGGAAATAGGGAGAAATTCTGAAACAAAGTGTGCATAGGGTGGGGGAGGGGTTGGTTGGTTTTTTTATGTTTGGGTAATAAGAAAATCATGGTGGAACGGCTGGCCTCATCATGTAAATGTAATAGGAAATGCATGGGGAATAGAAAACTGATTTAATAGAACCCATTCTTTCACCACCTTTCCCTGATCTTCAGTAATTAGGTTATGATTAATATCTGGGAAACACAGATAGAGTAAGAGACATACCTGCCCTAGTTATTCCTGATGTCATACAGACTAAACACAAAAGCATTTATGGAAAGTACAACACATTGAGCAAGAAAAAAAAAGAGGACTTACTTTGCAGGCATCTCTCTTGCCTGACATTACTCCTGCACAAAGCATTCGAGAAGTGATGATCCCATAGGTGGAAACACAGAGGGTTTGATCAATGAGCTCCACCTCTGCTTGCTGCAAAACAGGGGAGCCTTTATTATCTGTAAAACACATTGGAGGGAGAAATCATGATGATGTAATGACTATAGTTCTTCAAGGTTTCATTTGAACAGTCACCTCAGATTATCTTTTACCTCAGAGTGATTCTTTGAGATAATTTATATTATTATCTCCATTTTGTGATGAAGAAATGTAGACCTAGGATACAAAAGTACTTGCCAGATGACACAGCAAGTAGCAAAGGATTCAGACCAAAGGTCTGCCTCTATCACCTGAGTAACTGTGCCATGCTTCCTCACCATGTACCTCTTGCTTTCAGTGGGACTATGAGTCAGTGGCAATTCCTGCCAGAGTTTACTGTACCAGAGGGCTCCTTAAATAGAACAGCATAACTGATATTCAGAAGACTCTGAGGTATCATAAAAACATAACCATTTTATTTAGCTCCTTCACTTCCGTTTTCACCTGACTAAAATGATTTCTAAAAATTAGCACACACACATATACTCATGATATACTCATGATAAGTTGGTTGAGTAGACTCTTTCCTCTTGTCATATATGATAATGTAATTAAAGCACTGAGCACAGTAACCTATCACAGTTACCAGTGTTCAAACAGCTATCTTCCCTCACTGGGACCCTGACACCTCAGCAAACAGATGAATATTATTATTTCAATAACAAAATGAGGGCTTTGAGAAGCTGTCCACCATGAATCTTTAGAAAGTATCAAAGAAAAGCTATAAAGAAAATACGAGAATTCCAGACAATAAGCTTGTCCCCTAACCCCTTTGGAAAGGACTGCAAAGGAATCTACAATGATTGGGAGATCAAGGGAAAATATTAACACTAACCTTTGGGGAGACATCCATGAAGCTTTGGATTCTTCCCCTTACTATATATTCAGATTCAGCCACGAATCCTGTACCATGGAAAATTTTGGCAAGATGGGTGTAGGAACTTCCTAACATACAGCCTGACCTTTAGACATATTGAAAAAGATCCCTTTTCTAGGTGGAGGAATTGTAAAAAGGCATCTACTCTGGGTGGATGAACGCTAGTGCAAGCCCCGGGCCTGAATTTGTAATCTGGGGGCAAAGAGCAGACTGAATTCAGCCTTCACAATCTCCCTTGGCCAGCAGCCCTGATGCAGGATATATGTGCACAATCTTTCACATATTGTCTGAGTTGACACACTGGAGTGTGCATATGTGTGTCCTCTCCTTTCTAAAGAAAAAAAATCATTTCTTTGGATGAAAAGGGAACCTAAAATTGAGGAGGACGTGTTCTTCTATGGTAGAAAGTGAAGCACCTTTCAAAGTTTGAAAGGGGTCAGTAATGTCCAGCCAAGCCTGCCTTGCTCATACATTCCCTGTATCAGGTGGGTCTTTTACAGCAGGTAGAAAGGGTCATAAAACAGGGATGAATCCAGAGTTTTTAGGAGGCTCAAGGGTGAGGACATACACAAACCCTCTCTGAAAAGTGCAAGAAAGCACTACATCAACATAAGTTGCCATCATTGGTAGGGGAAGGGTACAACCATTGTTCAGACACACACCTGCTTCATGCTTTCGTCCCCAGCCCGTCACCCAGCACTTCTCCCCACTATGCAATTTCTGACCAGTGGGAGGAATGCATATTGGCTGTATGAGCTGTTTCAGGGTCTCAGGCCAAGCAACACTTAGCTGTAGCAAAGCAATATCATAGTCAAATGTCTGACTGTTATAGTACTCGTGGACCACAATTCTTCTCACAGGAGAGACAAACTTGGCATTCCCCTGCACATACATCCCAAGGTGAGCAGTCCATGGTGTGGGGTCCGACAGTCTGACAGAAAAGGAATGAAACTCAAAGTTAGTAGTTTGAAGAAGTACATATCTTTTGGAAACAAGCACTCTGTAGAGAGATGATGCTGAGGGGGAAAAAAGGCCTGACTTCCAGTAGCTTTATTTTAACCCCTGACTCTGCCCAGGGACAGAGCAAAAAGCACGACTCTGAGCCTTCCTTATCTCCTCTGTTAAAACCAGAGATGAAGTAAACAGGCTGAGGTATGTTCCAGAGAATTCCCTCAACAGCATCCTAAGGAAATGCCTGGAAAATTTCTTGCCATTTAGTATTTTCTAAACTACACACAGATTGAGAATATTGGTAACTAGAATTAATTTGTTACACTCTTCCTATTCAAGTATAACAGTTAATGGTGACACACGGAGTCAACAGGTGTTGTATTGGGATCTTCTGCCAAGTTCAGATAACACAAATACCAAGGTGGATAAGAAATTAAAGCAGTTTAGCAAGATTGTAGTGAAATTGCAAGCTACCAGAAACCTGAAGATCACTGGGTCACTGCTCAAGATAACTACTCCGAGGAGAAACAAACTCTATCCCCTGATCAGTCTTCTGAATTCTAATTTTCATCTTAACCCCACCTCTGGTCTCATCCAAGTCTCAGAGGGGCTTGTAGTCTGCATGCGTCTCAATCTCTACCAACGTAACAACCAGGGAGAAGAAGGGTAGAGAAGAGAATATGAAAGTTTTAGAAGAAAAGTAAGTACCCAGCTCAAAGAATGTGGGCACTGATTTGCTAGGGTGACATCTTGTGGGTGGCACTGGAGACCCTGAGCACTTTGACAGCATTGGAGACTAATGATCACACAGAGGTGACACTATTTTAGTAATTAACATGAAATCTGTAATTTCCAAGAAAAGCAAATACTCATTAGAGTACTAAATTGAAAAATTAGAATGAGAAGGAAATGAGATCATTTTTGCATCTAAGATCCAACAGATCTCAAATAGGTTTAAATTTTAAGTGAGAATACTTTCTAAGCTTTCTTTTCCTCCTTAGCTGGAAGACCATTCATCTCATAAGAATCCTATTGGCAAAGGAGGACAGAGTCCCTCCAAGGCCAATCCTAAATGGACCTTCCCAAGATCCTCCTTCTAATCCAAAAAGGGATGCCTATACTCCAGCCATCACTCAATGTTGCCCTTTTCCACATTCTTCAGACATTCTCTTGCTGCCTCTCTGACTTGGAAACCCTATTTTTATTTCCTCAGCCCACTAAAAAGCCTATTCATCCTTGATGTTTTCCGTTGTGTGCTTTCTTCTTCGTATAAATAATATCTTTAAAAAAAAGGTTTGGCAAATAAGTGGTGCCACCCCCCAAAATAAATAAATAAATAAATAAACAAATGCCCAGTTGAACTGATTGTCCCCAACAGCAAGCTTCTTCCCACAACTTGAGGGCAGACATGTGGTCTGTAGTCAGAGTGTGCAGCTTGACAGTAAGGATTGGGATGCCCTACCTATTTCCATGGAAACAGTGGGCTGCAGAGAGAAGCCACTCCCTGGAGATGACGGAGGCACCGCAGTAGGCAGATCCAACAAAGTGGAGGCTGACCTGCCACGGCCAGGCCCCTTCCTGGGAGTCAGAGCCCCCGATGATGCGGTGGAGGGAGGAGGAACTCCTGCTGCAGCCTTTAGTAGAAGAAGGGTCACATGACTTAAAGGCAGACTCACAACTGGAAATGAGGTCAAGTGCAGTGCTGGGCTGGGAACTGACTCATTGAGTCATCAGTTTGAAATTTCCTTATCTCGACTAGAGGAAGCCCATAGATCTGTCTGAAACCAGCAGCAACAGAGCACTCCCATCCATTGAGAATGTGCCCTCACATGGAGTTTCTATGCAGGACTGCATGTGACAGAGGAGCCTGGAGTAAAAGCTGGCCGGTGTAAACAGCAGCCTGGAGTTAGGTTGCTAGGCTGTATTCCAAATGTAACCAAATTGAGAACGTGACTGGGAATCTGTGCTGATTTGAGACAAAGTATTTGGGACTGAATTTGTGAGGCTTGGACAAATGAAAATCCACCAAAAACTAGTTGCCAGAGCACTTTCTTCCCAGTGTAAACAGCATCGATGGGGATGTACAATTAATATATTGCAAACATGTCACCCCCTAGCCAATTAGAGGCCATATGACAAAAAAGAACATCTAGCAGATTGCAAATATTGGGTCTTAGCCAAAGGTAGAACCAGCACTCGTTATTGCTCATGACATAAGGCATAATTAAAAGTCATCCACTGAATTACACTGTTTCTTTTCTCACAGACAATTTCAAGACCCTCTTCCTCGATTAGTGTTACTGGAAATGAAAGTTCTCAGTATAAACATGTACAGCATTAATGTTATTGTCAAGAAAGAAGAATACAATACAACTCTAGAGCTTTCGTTTCTGAGAAACAATCTCAGACTCGGTTTACCCATTTTAGCTATTATTTCTTGGGTCTGTAGCAACCTCTACCAGGAGGATCTTACCAATAGAGGAATGACAATGGCAGACGGCTATTGAAACAGGAATGCAGGCATCCGAGGAGGAACTTTCTACTTACTGCAGCCATCTTCGTCACTTCCATCTGGACAATCCACTATGCCATCACATTTTGCATTTTGTTTCCTAAAGCAAATATCATTACCACACTTAAAAGTTCTGTCGGTACATGGAATGCCTAAAAATAAGCAAAAGAAGAAGTGGTTTTTCCTAGGCAGAAACAGATCTGAGTGAATGACATTGAACGCTGCAAAGAATGGGTTAGTCATGGGATTGCTGTTTGCTGCTCTAGGACACACTGACAGAGAGACACAGAGCACTGAACCTTTCCTTCGCTGAGAGCCATAGGAAGGCAGGCAGATGGGCAGGTAAGCAGGCAAATCAGCTGAGAGTCAGTCCAGCCCTCTCCACCCTTCCACTGTAGGATGCAAAGGACTTGGCCATACCAGAGGCTCTAGGCCAAACCTCTGTGCTATTGCCTTGTCTTATTCTCTAAGATTTTGAATAAAAGTCACTACCACACTCAGAACTTTTATATCATTTGGGAAAAGACAAATGGAGAGATAGTGTGAATTACAGCACATTTGTTCCCAACCATGGAGGTGGGCATTTCTGTAGGGATTAGATTAGGAGGTGTCCCTTCACTGTCAGGTCCTCAACCTAAATGGCATTAAAGCAAGTAAGCAATGAAAACCTATGAGTATTCACGCAGGAACACACATACACACACCAGTTAAGAGTTAGAGTGACCAACTGTCTCATCTTGTCTGGGACTGGGGGGATTCCAAAACAAGGGACTTTCAGTGCTAAAACTGGGAAGATGGTCACTTAACCCAACAAACTCTGGTTCTGATTTAGAAGAGTCCTATAGGAAGAACAGAGCGCTGTGAGCCCGTCCTCACTCCGAGTGCAGTTCTGCTCATCCTGGCCGTTCTCACAGTCCCTGAAGCCATCACACACTAGAGGGCCATGCTGCCAGAAGGAGCTGGCATTGCAGGCAGGCTTGATGGTCACTAGGAGAAGGAAAGACAGAAGCTCATGAGCCTGAAACACTAACCTTGTTTGCCGATGGCCAACGATGCCTCTCTAAGCATGCAAATCATTAAAATGACAAATAAAACACAGAGTATATTTTCCTTGGAACTGACATTTCCATGACAAAAAGCAAATAAACCTTTGGTAGGATTCCTGGCACTTGACTTTGTCAGATCTCACTATATGTGAGTTATAACATATCTAGTACACCATAACTAATCTATTTTACAGAAAATAAATACCATAAGCTATTATCTCAGTTGAATTTGTCAACCCACCTAAAGAAAGTGGAAGTATACTGAAATTAGAGATTTTGTCTAATTTATTTGGTCACTAACCAAACAGTAAGTGTTCAATAAAAGTTTGTTGAATGAATTAATGAATGTGAGATCTTAGAGGACAACAGACTTGTGGTCTGTGTGTAAGAAAATGCCAAAATTATTTTATCCTGCTGGCCCTGGTGATGCTCCTCTGTAATTCCAGCTCTTGGGAGATGGAGTGATCATACATTTGAGGTTGGCCCAGACCATATAGCGAGACTGTATCTCAAAAAAAAATATTATTTTGTCCTGAAATTGGTGTTTAAACATCAGTGTACATCTATCACATTTTTATTCCTTGGAATATTTCTTCTAATTGCCTTTGGAATGACAGCAGACACACCATACTGACAAGAACTTTTAGAAGGGATGGTTTCTTAGACATTTCTGGTTCAGTGAGAAGTTATTGGTTTATCATTTACACTTCTTTTTACAGGAGTATTTCTTGTCTTATTCGGATCCCCTGAGGTTGAGGGGAGGACATTACTGCTCTGAAATAATTCATTATAAGTTTCCCACAGTGCATAGATGACACCAAGAGAAGAGTTCAAAAAAAGATAATACAATGAGAAATAATAATTGTCAAAAGTAGTTATTATAAATTGCCAGTCTGGAGCATCAGAGCAGAGAATTATAATGTTAAAAAAAAAAAAAGCTCAGTCACTATAATGGTCAGTATTTATTTTTCTTAAGAAATAGAAAGCTTGATAGATTTAGATAGCCAATGAACCATAGTTAAGAGGGTTTTATTTTATTTTGTCAATAAAAAAGGTATTCGAGTCACAGATTATTTTTTCGAGTCACAGGTATATCTTTTCATAGTTATAGTATATTAACTGTAATGCTTCTCCAAAGACAAGAAAAAGATTAAATGGAACCACAATTACAATTGTATTTGAATGAAACTGTGGATAAAGTGTTGTCAATGATGTCACATTGTTTAATAGACTATCTTTCCTATGTTTTTTTCCCTGAAACTGGAGATAAATTGAGGAATGGTATGCAAAAAATAATGAAAAATCAGGACACAGATTCTCCACCCAAGTGGGAATATCCAATACCCCACCCCTTAGTCATTACCAGTGTGATAGTCCACGTAAACTATGTAGGTTGAAAACTAAACTAACCCTTTTATTCTTAAATAGCATCTGTGCTCCATAACCAAGCATGCTGAATTTGCTGCAAATTCCGAGCTTCTCTTTAGATAAAGGATGTGTGCTTACAGACAGGACTGTTAGGTTCGCTGTGATAAGATTGTGATGGATTAAGTTATTATCCACAGGTTTTCGCTCCCTGTGGTCATACGTATGCACTCCACCCTTGCCATGACCCCAAGGAGTGTGGAGGAAACGCCCTTTTCCTCGACTTTGCTCTCAGCTACATGACTTGCCTTGAGCAACAGAATGTGATATGAGTAATGGTGTGCCAGTTGCAAGCTCAGGCCTTAAGAGGAGCCATGTGGTTCTGGTCACTTCCCCTTGTCTGTCACTGCCAGTGGCTAGTCCATTGGCTCAAGGAGGGAAAGAGTCACAAAGAATACACCTGACCCCAGCCTGGGAAGAATCAAGTCCAGGAGGATCCAGTGCTTCAAGCTGAGCCACCCAATTGAGCTCAGCCCAGATCACTGAAATCCAGACAACCCATGGATTCATGATCAAGAATGAATAATTGTTTTAAGCCACTGAGTTTTGGGCTACTTTGTTACACAGTGATAGATAACAGCTACAAAGAATACAGATAAACTAGATGTGGTGGTACAAGTCTATAATCCCAGCACTCAGGAGGCTAAGGAAGACCATGAGTTTGAGGCCAGCCTAAGCTACATAGTAAAACCCTGTCTCAAAAAAAAAACAAAAACAAAAACACAAAGACTATAGATATACACCAGAAGTAATAATGGCTCTGTGAAGTTTCTGATTCATAACAAAATCATTAAAAGCAGAGTACCCACCACAGAAAAGTTCATCACTTTCATCAAAGCAGTCATTTACTCCATCACAGCGCTGTGCCTGAGGGACACACAAACCGGAGGAGCATCTAAAAGATCCAACAGGACAAGCTACAGGCAATAAGAAATAGAAAATCTGGCATGGGTCCCTAAAAATCACCAGACCATACTATCAAAGAACTATGAAGTGTTAAGTGGTTAGGGATTTGGCAAGGTAACAGGAGTAATTATATGATTTCTACATCCAATCAAGGCTATGGGTAATTAAAAGGCACACAATAAAGCAGAACTTAAATGAGCAAAGGAGAAAGTGAATTAATTCAACAGAAGCTCTGAGTGAACAGGGCACTCAGATCACTTCACGATCAAACTCCATAGCCTTAACTCAGTGCTCTGGCATTATCATAGACTCTAATGGGAAAACCGGAAGACACCTAAGAGGCCATCATACTGAAGGTGCAGTCTTTATATTCCCCAGGGTATTACAGATGGACTTCTGATGTCTCTGAACTCTCTGAGATCATTTGTATTTTTTTCATATGTCTTTAAGCACATTTTTAAGTGCTCTCTGTTCCAAAATATTAGAAACCACTGATCTTATCAAGTTGAACTTACATGCATTAGTGCCTGGTCTCAAAATCCAGGACTCCTGTACCCCACCTCACTGCCCATCATTCTTTCCACTTCAACCAGGCTGCTCATCAAAGATCCATTTCCTGCCTATCCTATGGGCTTAGGGATGAACGCCATATGGTCAGAAATGAATGGCCAGGTCAACCACTGCCTCAATGGCACATGATGGAGTGAGTGGATGGTCTGCTGGGAAAATCATCATGGTTTGAAAAAAAAAGCAATTCTAACTAAGATGGCTCAGTACTCCCGTGTCCCTGATAGAAATTATAACACTGTGACATTCAGAGTGTAATATTCTGAATCCAGAGGCAGGTATATTGGAGATTGACAGGGAAGGACAACATCTTAAAGGAGCTTTCTCTCAAGTCATAGTCTCAAGGACTCCTCGATGAGTGACCTTTACTTTTCCCTGTTTCAAACAGGTCTAGAATTCCTAGAACAAGTTGTTATTGACACCTTGCAGCTCCAGTGATTTCCTCAAACACTGCCTTTTCTATGAACTGTTTCGGGGCCACTGTTCCAGGGGTTTCCAGTGTGAACTTCAAGTTCCATATTCTGAGGGCTGATATCTGAACTCTGTAAACTAACCAGCACTCCCTAGTTATCATAGAACAAAGAGAATCAAGCCTGTTGGCCACAGATCCTCTATTTGTTAGAGTAAACATCTTATTTACAAAAAATTATGACTACCAAGAAAAACAACAAAAAGAAGTGGGCTTGTCCTGTATTTTAGGAGTGGATGTGAGAAATTACATTTCAACTATAAATCAATGTAAAAGATAAATTATTTTTTCTACAATTTAAAATATAAGACATAATTAACACAAATTTTATATATAACATACTTAGTATATACATAAGTAATGCATATTTTATATATCACTTATTAGTTTGTATTATATTTATGTATATTTGTTAAAAAACTATTTTTTTAAAAAATACATAGTAGGAAATAACAAAAGTAAAGCAACATTCCTTCTAGAAGTTGTCAGGTTTAGAGTTACAAATGGTTGACCTGTACCTAACTAATTGTACTAGGCTTTCCTAAAAAACTCACACCAGACTTACGTTGACTGATGCTGTAACTGCCATATTCTACCAGGAGTGGCTTGTCAGAGAGCCCTGAACTGCACTGGAGCTGGACGTGAACCAGAGGGCTGGGCACTCGGAAAATCGTCTGGTGATCCACGTAGGAACCACAGTACCTGAGGAGGTAAGAGTGGAGAAGGACATGCAGCTCTGGATTCCATTGACTGCATTCCTATTGTTAGCACATTCACTGCTACTTAGGTCCTTCAGCTTCACAAACAGAAATGCTTTATGGCGTAGCTGATAGTAGTTATTCTTTCCATGTTGTGTGGCTGTGATCCAGTAACTTCTGCCCCCTGAATTTTCCTCTGCTAAATACAACAATAATAGTACTATCAACTTTTGCTTTCCTCACCAACATTGTAATCAGAACTATGGATTTAATTCTTTCAGTCTTTTCTCCTTTTTCAGTGTAAAAAAAAATTGTATTAACAAGAATGACCTGTTTTTATCCACAATCCTCTCTGTAGAGCAGAGTGGAATCTTTGAGCTCAGGTTGAAAATATGCAAAGAATTCTATCAATACTTGAAGCAAAAGACAACAACCTGAATTCAATCTAAATTGAAATCTGATCTGCACCACTGGGCTGGTCCTTGGCAAAATTTCAAAGACGTAATATGTACCTATGATATTTCCAGACCTTGTTTTTCTCCTTACCTCTCATCACCTAATGTCAGTAGGGTTCCTAGTAGCCTTTTGAGTAAATGTCACTCTGGATAATAATTCTTACTATAGAAGCCCTGTGGTTAATGGAATATGCAGTGTTATCAGACTGCAGGCCCAATGATAAGTCAGTCCACTGCCCTGTGTGGGTGAGGCTCTCCCAGTGTGAAACCTGGCAGGTCTCTATGGGAAACAGAGCAGACACACGGTTTAGGGGTGACATCCTCACCTTGAACCTGTGAATGCCAATCACTAGGCCCCCAAAACACTTGGAGATTACTCATGCTCCATGGAGCAGACACTAGCATTCAGGAGCATAATCTATGACTTCAAGGCTTAAAGAAGGAAAGCATTCATGTGTTATTCAGGAAGTCTTTTGCGATTGCCTGAGGGCAATCCTGAACCGAGGGTCTGATAGGCCAGCAGGGGTGGCCACCTGGCCAAGTGGAAGCCAGCATCTGAGAAGCACATGAAAGACAAGTGAAGCTTTTGTGACTACAGTCACAGTGTGTGTGTGTGTGTGTGTGTGTGTGTGTGTGTGATCCATTAGCAGACTTTTCTTGCAAACACGACCCCCTGACACACACTCAGGAGTATTAAGGAGGAATCAAGAAAAGAGGGAGGGATCTTTGCATCCATGTTTGGGCTACAGTTGAAAGGGGGATAGTACACAACTGTGCATCATAGTGGTTTATGGAATGAAAGTGTAAAAAGCAAGAGACTAGAGAAACCTAGCAAAAGTCAGTTTACATACATCATGTAAACACATGACCAGTAAGGAAGTGAGACATAAAGAAGTGAAGTAACTTGTTAAGGTTCAAAAAGCAAGTAGAACTAGGATTTAGACAGAAGTTGGCCTGATGCTAAACTCAAGCACTTTCCAGCACAGCAAAAAGCCTTCCTCTCAGGCTTGCTCTGCTAAAGTTATAGAAGGGCCATTACTTCGTCAGGGCTCCTATACTGCATTCTAGTGGCTGTATGCACACTTCATCCCTTGTCCTCTGCACTATTCAGGGAGTTCCTTAGACTTCCACCAGTCACAGTAATCTTTTCCTCCTTCCCTACTGTAGCCCCAATTCCTTAAGGGACAACTTCCCAAAAAGATGTCTCATTAGTTCCATTAAAGCTTTTCCTTTCTAGGTGGAAAAGATGATAAGGGAAGGGCTGGTATTTTAAGTCCTGAGGGAACAGCTAGCATCCAATGAATCTGATAGGATTTCAGCCAGCCTATAAGACTATAGGAAGAACTGGTCCTTGGGAAGAAAGTATTTGGGGCAGAGAGCATGTTTGGTGTTGCTTGGGAAGAGACCCTTCTCCTACTTGCCACAACACATTCTAAGGTGTTGTTGTTACTTAGGGAAAAAGAACCTTTATTCTTCCCAAAGCATAGTTCAATCTTAGGCTTACAACTTCACAAAAGATTTATAAAGATTTTTTTTCCTGGATCTGTGCTTTTTTAAGTACCAAAATAAAGTATCTTTGAAACTTTGGAGCACATTCTATTGTATTTCTTCACTCAATGCCATTTTCAAAGTTATCTTGTTAGTCACATGGGTAGCTAATATTTTTGATGTGCCATATGCATTATTTCATTGACTGCTTACAAAAAAAATTCACATTAAGTAAGAATTATTACTTCATTTTACAGCCTCAAAATCAAAGAAGTTAGATAATTTGTCCTAGTTTAATATAACTACTAAATGACAGGACTGGAATTGTTTTTTGATTGTTTGTTTTGGTTTTTTTATTGTGCTGGGGCACATTGTGGCATTTACAAAGGTTCTTACAATATATCAAATATATCATACTTGAATTCACCCCCTCCGTCATTCTCCTTTTTCTCCTCTTCCCCCTATTCCTGGAATCGTTTCAACAGGTGTCATTTTTCCATTTATAGACATGTGCTCACAGTATTCACACCATATTCGCCCTCAAACCGAGCTCTTTTGACTCCTACATAACAGACACTTGATTCCATTATACTCCCTAATGGAGGACAGGATACATTTTAATAACGGATCCAAGAATGCCTTTAAAGCTGATTGGGTGTCTTCCAATGAAGATAGGACCAATGACTGTTTTGCAAGTAGACTGATTAAAGGAACTAAAAGAAGGATGTGGTTCAGGAAAAGTGCTTAGAAAGGAGCAAAGAATGAAATAACAAGGAGCAAAGAATTAGAAGGCAAATCCTTTAACCTCACAGGATTCTGAAAGTGAACCTAGAAGCTATTCTGCTGACAAGATAAAGCACCCTGCATTTCTGAATACGGATTGGGTTAGATGCCTATTGACTAGCTGTTATTCTTTAGAAGAAGACAAACAATAACAGCTAAAGAATAAATCAAGAGTGAGAATGAGGGGGTCTGCGGTGTTGCTCGGCAGTATAGGAGTACATGCTTAGCCTGCACAGGTCCTGGATTCAATGTGGGGAGGGACAAAAAGAGTAAGAGTGAGGACTTGCTAGGTTGGTTCAGGAAGCCCAAGCACCTACATCTCTGAGCTCCCAGTCTTAGGATGTAGCCAGTCCAATAACCCTTTTCCACCATGCAGAATTGGCTAATGGTCTCTAACTCATATACCATTGAAACTCTTCTTTATTATCCCTCTTAACAGCTCCAAGATTTGAAAACTTTGTTTACCAAGTGCTTTTGTGAAATATAGCATATACACATCAAGAACCCAGCAGCAGATAGCAGAGGTGAGGCAGAAGCCTTGAGGCATGGGTTTGAATCCTTCCTTTATCACTCAGGAGCTCAGTGAGCTTGTGTAGGTTTCTTAACTAGTCTATCCGTCAGTTTCCCTCTCTGTGAATAGTAAAGTGCAAACTCTTTGGGGACAAGGAACCCAAGACTGAACTTTTTCATCAGATTTTTTTCACAAAAGAAGATCACTTACATGTGCTCGTTAATTTCCCACCATCCATGCTCACAGCCTTTCATACCCTCTTAGTTATTGAATAGTTGTGAAATTTCAATGCTATGCCAAGAGTTGACAGGGGAGTCTGTTGAAAAACAAACACCAAGTCAGAAAAATGCTTCCTTCCAAGAATGTGTTTCAAGGTAAAATTTCCTGCTCATACAGTACTAATCCTCCTGGCTTGTTTTAAGGGTGTTCTATTCTATTCTTTGTATCTCGTGGTCCTCAGTGGTATAACCAGTTTCCCTGAACAAACCAGAATAAGGAGGACAGCATGATGGAGAATGGAGTGGACAGCCAGCTGCTCAGGGAGCTGCAAAGGACCCTACCATCTGTAGCATGAACCAAGCAAGAGAAGGGAATAATACATCTTATTGAAGGCTATCCCAGTTTTCTTAGCAGTTCCTACACATTTTATTTTATGAATATTAATGTTATGTAAATTGCTGCATAAATAACTGTGATAATTAGATCTGTGGATCACCTTGCTACCATTACACATTGCTTTTATTTTCCTATTTTCAAATCAGGGCTGTTTTGCCCTGTCTTCAGTGTTGCCTGGCCCTGAGATTTTGAACAGTTTCCTTTTTGTTTATATGTCACCAGCAGACTATTGCCCATCCTTTTTGCTCAGTTTTGCTGAATCACTTTTTTGTTTACTTTGTCTTCTGAAAATAACAGTAAGTTAGATTTTAGGTAATTTGTAATTCAATCCTGTTGTCTTTTTCTTTAGATGAATTTTATTCATTGACTTGTATCACTCTGGCAGATTTTTGGTTTTAATTATATCACCATTGTATGTATTCTGCTTTTCTGTGTGTGTGCATGTGTGTGTGCGTGAGTGTGCATGGGTGTTTGTGCATGGGTGTGTGCAGGTGTACTTGCTTCTTTCTAAAATGCACTTAAATAGAGGCAGCTACCCTTCACCACCTACCTTTGAGAGAGAATTGATAAGGTACTTTACACTTCTCATTTAAATATCACAACCACCCAGTTAGGTTTAGTGTAGTTGCCAATTTATAGAAGAAAAACACATAACTAACCAAAGATAAGTAACTTTCCCAAGGTTAGAAAATGCAGACCAGAGATCCAAACCAGTCCTATATTTCTCTGACAGCCACTCTTTTCCCAGTGTATCACTCTTATTGAAATGGCATAGCAGACTTAAGAGGATTGTCTCGTGTTCACAAAAGCCCAGGGTTCCTAGGAAGATGCATTCATTTTTTTCCCAGCACTGACATCCATTTGGTTAGTTGTTCACACACACATGACAATGTACAAACTGAGAGATAATATCTTAGATAATCAATGTAAATCTTAGGATGAAAGAATATTTTCCAATGTAATCACCTACCAAGAAGCTTGTTTAGGCATTTACACTATGTTCCACTGCTTCAAAATGAAATGGATCTATTTGCACTGCTAGCCACCAGTCCAGAGTGTCTCCATAATGAAAGGAAGTAAATTCCCTTGAACACCAATTCCACTGACACCAAATTGCACACAGTTCTACATTTGTGCAGATTGACCAAGAGACAGTACTGATATTAACCTGCTTGACAAACGGAGGGACAAGGTGTAGTTTAGCAAAGTATTATTTTAACAAGTGAACAGAAAAGTAGGTTACTTCCTTCTATGGTCTGTATTCTCAGTTTCCATTCCCTACTCCCTGCCTTTGTGTTGGGAACTTTAACCAAGTAAAGGAAGGCAGTCTCCTGATCTGAACATAGGATCATTATGTCATCAGTGAAGGCAACAGGATACTGGACACAACTTACCCTTCAGTCACCCTAACTTGTCAGAGGTTATATACACACGGCCCAAGAACCTACTTTAGAGGAGCACTGGAAATTTTCACAGCAAACATGCCTACATGTTTCCTTCACAGAAACAGGGCCTCCAGGCCATTCTATCCATTTCCTCAGTGACTCTCATGTCCCACAGTGACCCCTGCTTATGTTTAGGGGAACTAAATTGAGTGATGCTAGGCAGATGACTTCTGTGATAAAAACAATTCAATGCACTGCTCTACCTTTTCTTCTAAGGTCTTCTATGATTCTAAGGTTTTTGAAAAACAAAAAGAAGCAAGGCAAAGGAAAGGAAATGTTCAGCTAAGTGATTGCTACAAAGCATGGGGAAGCTGAATATCTTCAGAAACCTAGAAAAGGGGTGGGGGATGAATTTATTTATGAAGGAAGCATGATTCTTTCCAGTCCTCCTCGTCACTTTGTATTTGAGTGATCTCTGGCAAAAGGTTTGTCCTCATCTCTCTCCTTTTCTAGAAAATGTGTTAAGAATATCTCTCCCAGAACATCAATCTGACTGAGGTCAGCCAGGCTCAGAAGACCAAACATTGCATGCTCTCCCTCATATGCGGGCTTTAGATCTAGAGCAAATACAGCAATGTGGTTGGACTTGGGGCACATGATAAGGAAAGCACACATGGGAGGCATGGGGATAGGTAGGAAACCCAAAACATGAAAGTGTTTTATGTCCACACTGCAAAGGAACTTATACAGAAACCTTAAAGCAACAGAAGTCAATATGAGAAGGGGATCAGGAACTAGAAAAAAGGATATTTAGAGATGAATCAACTTAGAATGTAACACATTTGTACATGGAAACAATACGAGGAATCTCTCTGTATAGCTATCCTTAACTCAACTAGCAAAAACGTTTTGTCTTTCTTATTATTGCTTATGTCTCCTCTTCCACAAAATTAGAGATAAGGGCAGAACAGGTTCTGCCTGAAAGTAGTGGTGGGGAGAGAGGGAGGGAGGGGGAGAAATGGCCCAAACAATGTATGCACATATGAATAAATGAATTAAAAAAATAAAATAAATAAAATGATTAAAAACAACAAAAAACTGTCTAAAAGAAGAAGAAAAAAAAAAGAATATCTCTCCCACATCACAGGTATGTTTTGAAGACCAAATAAAAACATGTGTGCAGAAAACACTGAACTGCTAAACAAATATGGACATCATACTACAAACTCTACCTTTTAAATTTTGCTTATTTGTGCCTTCTTACCCTATAGAATATAAGCGCCATGAGAACAAGGACTTTTTCTTGATACCAAGTGTCCCCATATGGGGCCTGATACAGAGCAGACATTCAGTGAGCATTTATTGAGTGGATTTAGAAACTGTAGGAAAAGAATCAGATGGACTTTAAGCTGGAGCAAGAGTGAATCCTTTTCAGATAAATTAGACCTTAAAACTCAACTGAAAGTGAGTTTGCAAAGGGGTTGATTACTCTTTGCTAAGTCTGGAAATGAGATGAGACACAAAGAAAGATTGAGGATAGAAACCAACTTTTGATTAACAAAGTTTTATCATGATTTGTTCAATATTTTTACTACTTAAGGCATCTAGTTCTTAGTTGTTAATGAATTCAAAGCTGCTTTACAAGTGAAAAAATAATTTTGGGGCTGGGGGCATGGCTCAAGTAGTAGAGCATCTGCTTAGTAAGTGCAAGTCCCTGAGTTCAAACCCAAGTACTGCAAAAATAAATTAATTAATTAAAAATAATTTTTACACTGACTTCCATTCACAGAAATTTCTTCTCACAAAACTATAGGAGGCTGTTCGAAACTTCTGAGGGAACAGAAGTTCCCTCACCATCACCCCAAGAAGATAAATGTGCTTTTTGGAGAGACAGAGATGTAATGTCTTTCCTTCTTCCTTCCCTAGACCTTCCTTTCATCTCCTCTTCCTCACTCATCTTCCCAATCCTCAGGCTCACTGGTCATCCAAAGCCTTAAAGCCTGAGAACCTCACAGTGAGCAAGGGTCCAGCATCTTTATCTTTTAATTATTTTTTTCTTTTAATTATTTTGGAAATGATTGTGATAATGATAACAAATAATTTAAGGCTCTATGTCTCAGGACATCGACACCAAACACAGATTTAGGCAGAGCAGTTTCCTGAACTATTTAACTGGCAGGACTGTGCACAAATGATCACACACCCTCCTGCCTCAGGATCCTCTCCTCAGATGTTCCCTTTGGTGCAACATTTTTATCCTAGGTATCTACAAGGCAGTTCCCTGTCTCTCTCCATTCTCTACAAATGTCCCCTTGTAGATAGGCTTTTTTGGACCATCCTGTTTAAGATAACAAACTACTATTTGCTTCCCTTCACACTCCCAACTTCCCACTCAAGCTATGGAGCCCACTTCTCTGCTTTATTTTTCTCCATAGCATTGTATCACCATATGGCATATGACAAGCAGCAGTGGTTCGGGAACCCCATGGATATCCGAATCTATGGATGCTCAAGTCCCTTCTATAAAATGGCATAGTGTGTGCATGTAACATGTTCTTTAAATCAATAGTTATGATATTCAATTCCACATAAATGCTACACAAATAGTTATAGTGTATTGTTTTAGGAATAATGGTAGGAAATAATCTGTGCAGGCTCAGTTCAGATGCATATTCAATCTGCTGTTGGTTGAACCCACAGATGCTGAAGGCATAGATATGGAGGTATATCTGCACATGTAACTTGTTTGTCACCTGTCTCCCCTCACTGAATGGTAATCTCCAAGAGAGAAGAACTTTTTAAATTTTCTGTCTAATTTCATAGATTCTCAGAGTCTAGAGTAGCACCTGAATGCCTGGCCTACAGTAGTCATTCAAAAATATACTGGTGAACACATATGAAATAGAACAATGAACCCTCCAGGAATTGCTTTAAGAGAGGTGGGGAGGGAGTCGAGTGAGGGAGATGTTGGGTGGCCTAACCAATGTACAATATAAGCTTATTCAGATACTGTCACAATGAATCCCTCCTGTACAATGAATATATACTAATAAAAAATTTTTGAAACATATTGATGAATGTAAGCTACATTTACATCTAATTACAATGCTATACAATAATGACTTTATATGAGGACACTAAGTGAGCATTGAGGACACTGAGTGAGCATAGGTGACACTTTTCCCTGTCTCCATATGTTACTATACTAGGAAAAAGAAAATAGTTTCAAGGCTGAATGTGTTCTCATGCTCATATGTTCTCATGTATGAAAATGGAAAAATGAGACAGGTTGAAACTATCTCAGGAATGTGGGAATGGGAGGGATAAAGGAGAATGATGGAGGGGTGAATTTGACTATGATATATTGCAAGAGCTTTTGTAAATGTCACAGTGTATCCCCAGAATAACAATAATATAATAAAAAAGATCAAAAACTCAAAAAAAAAAAAAAAAGGGCAATGCTCTATCAGGCACCAGAGGAGGATGTGTATAAACTTGCACTTTGGTTTGTTTATACAACTAAAATGAATATTGCCTAATTTTTTTTGTTATTTTTATTAATTCCTATTATGATGAAGTAATTAACAATTGATAAATTAGCTCTATCATAATAAAACAATTGATCCTGCAACAATGCCTTTTCATTTTTAAAATACAAATAGACAAAATAAATTGGAAAAGTAAGCCCAATCTGCTAAGAGTTGTTAATTTGTCAGTAGAGAGTTGAAATTACAGCAAAATTTTATTTTTTAGATAATATAGGAGATTTCAATATTGTAAAATCAAGTGATACTATATTTGGAATTTAAAAAACAAAAGTAATGAAAATTAAGAATAAAATTCTACTAAAAATAGGATAACGGAATTTTTCTAAGATACTAGTAAAACTAGGCTACCTGAAATTTCCAAGTACACTTGCAATTTGGAGGAAGGTAGCTCGGGTAATATGGACTTGAAATTTTCCCTTCAAAGCCAGTGATTTCTTTGACCAACATTGTGTTTTCACACTCTGAAAAAGAGATCCACACACAAAAGATTTGCAGCTGTGAGATTAGGGAACATACACAGCAACATTTCTCTAATTACAAACACACTTCCTTAATTAACAACTGATTTGTTTGTTGTACTTTGAACAACCTCTTCCCTTCCCCCCGCCCCGTACCTAGGAAATTCCTGCTTGTGTAACATCCATGATACCTTTCAGTTCTCTTTTTTCCTTTTTGCTTTTGAGTCACCCAGTCAACATCTTTGTATAAAAATTTACTTGTTCTCGCTCTTCTGACTGGGCCTGGAGGCGGGGTTCCTGACTAATACTGTTAGTATTACAACAAAGCCTCAGAGATGGAAAGACTACAGCATCATTACAAGAATTTATAAAAGTGACTTTTTTTTAATTGGAGAAGACTTACTTTGTTCTGGAATGACCTCAAAATATGCCCGGATTCCTGACAGCCTCTGTATATAAGGAGACTTAAGTGTCACCAACATGAGATTATTTGTAGAAACAAATGACATTAGTGTTCTTGTAGGTTCACAAATTCTGAAACCAGAGAACACAACAAATGTATATGAATAATAGGTTATTGAGGACTGGGCCTTTATCCTACACTAATTCACTATGAAAGATGCTAAACCATTAAGCAACTAAATCCAGGTAAGTGCTAGTGTCTTTTCTATGAACAGTATGACCCTCATAGCTTTGTAGTGAGGATTTCTGTGTGTGCGTGGTATTGAGGATTGAACCTAGGGTCTTGCCCTTGCTAGGCAAGGACTCTGCCACTTGAGCTATACCCCTAGGCCTGTAGCAAGGATTTAAATGAGATAATAACTAAAAATATCTAGACGGATAGGAAGAAACGAACAATCATCAAGGAATGGAAGCCAGTGGTAAACTTATTTTTCATTGCATAGCCTTATATAGTGTTCGAATTTTTAATAGGCACACCCATCACCACAATAGAAATACATACGTACATCGTCACAGCAATGCAACATATGTAAACATTAACAGTAATAAAATGATCCATGCACCCTTTTAATACAGTGAGTAATAAATAACAATTTCTTAGTAAAATCTAATTTTCATTATTAGTTTATTGAATATTGAGCACTCATAAACAAGTATCTACTATTAAGTAAAAAAATATAAGGGTTAAGCAAAAAATATCAGGCTGTGAGCCCGGTGCTGGTGGCTCACACCTGTAATCCTATCTACTCAGGAGGCAGAGATCAGGTAAATCAAGGTCAAAGCCAGCCTAAGTAAATAGTTTGTGAAATACTATTTCAAATATACACAACACAAAATAGGGCTCTTGGAGTAGCTTATCGGTTCATATACATATGAAAGGATTTTATTAAAATGTAACAGAAATTTGTTCTGGATAATAAGACTGTAAAATAATTGATGTTGTTCTCTCTGACCTCATTTTCTTCAATGAACATGTGTTATCTGTGTAATAAGAAAAAAATTTAACTGTTTTACTAATGCTATATAATCAACATAGATGACTTATTCTCACATTCTATTAAAACAGTAGATTTCATTGTCATTGCAATAAAAGTATAATTAAACAAAATATTTGAGAATCTTGTTTGTTACAAGGGAAAAGCAAGCACTGAATCTGATAGACACTAGCAAGGGTATTAACGTATCAAGGGCACTAAATAGAGCACAGGTCAGGCTTGGACTCCATGAGTGTGAGCCAAAGAAAACCCATTGGATTTTTACTGTAGAACAGAGATTGTAAGTACTCTTTTCACCACCCAACAAGGGAGCTCAAGTGATACCTGTATAAGATGGTGCTCCGGATTGGCAAGAGGGAGTCGTAAATTGTCAGGGAGTCAGTGACACAGTTGTCGGCTTCGAGTTGGATGGACTCAATTGAGAGTCGGATCAGATAGCCCACGAGGGCCACCAGCTTGAAGTGACACATCATCCTCCCTGAGGTTGCAGAAATTTCCAAAGGGTAGTGGAGAGACAAGTGATCTGCATAGAAGTACTGAGAGCAGTCTTTGTCTGTGAAAACATGACTTTCCTTTTTTCTTTTTCTTTTCCTTTTTTTTTTTTTTTTTGGAATGACTTTTCTACAAATGTTTATAGAAGAGTAAAAAGCCAGAGGTCACGTGGAGACATCTGCTGTCTGTGGCAGCCTAGATTCCACTCTCCTTTCTCCTGGTAATAGCACTTAGCTATTACCTTGAGAAACTGTGCCTACTTTACCTACATAGTTTGACTGGGGTGAAACTCACCCCTACTGGGCATATGACCCAGACTGACCAATCAGTTGAAGAAGTTGATTCAGGAATGAGCATGCCAGCCAATCTGTATAATGGGAGTCAGCCCCAAAACTTCTGCAAGAACTGTCAGGAAATATATGTGCAGGATTTTCCCACCATGGTTGAGAAAATAATAAAATAGAAGCTTAGTCTTGCTGGAGGACCTTTTTGCTATCACAATGGAAGAGTATACTTGATAATAAAACATCAACAGAGAAGACAGACATGAAGAATTCTGATAATATTCTACTTTAGAACCTGGTCCCAATCATACCTGATGCCAACATATTCCATATTTCTCCCAGTTACATAAGGCACTGAAGTTTCCATTGTGCTTAGCCAGTTTGAATATATTCTTGTCACTTGCAACTAAAAGATCACTAACAAACACCATCACTAGGAAAGGAAAACTGTCCATGGGGCAAAAAAACTAATGGGGAGTAAGAAGGAGCTATATTAAAGAATTTACCAGATCCTATGGCTGAAGAGTAATCTGACCGAAGCCCAGCTGCATTGAAAAGGCATATAGAAAAAGTCACTGTGAAGTTCTGCATTACATTTTGTAGCATTTTACTTAGTAAAAATTATTTTTAGACCTTCTTTAAAACAATCAAACACATCTGGGATTGTACTTTCCAATAATCCAACGAGGGCCAAGATTTTTTAGATATTTAGAGATTAAATAGGATAGCTATGAGTTGACAATTGTTGAAGCTATGGATCTGTGAGAGTTGACTATACTATTCTCTTAATGTCTATTTCCTTGAAATCATCCATAGTTACAAATTTTAAACATCCTTCAAAGGTAACAAATCAACCAAGCAAATAATGATATACTATAATAAATGATATACTATAAATAATGATAACTAGTCTGAAAACTGAAACAGTAAATCTGGTATGAATTTTCCACCAGAGAGTCATCATTCATTCATTTAGCAAATATTTATCAGCACCCACCACATGCCTAGCATATGTGGGTGTATATATACAGTTTATATATATATATATATAGTCATATAAAATTTACATCAAAGATATATATCTTCAAAATATATATATATATTCATATAAAATTTACATCAAAGAGAAAGCTGCAGAAATTTTGGATTACATAATGATTAATCTATTTCAATGTTAAGACATGTGATAAAATTTACAGTTTCACAGGGCTATGGAGCAGGCAACATATATATAATATAAGTGGAGCTCTGTCTGGGCAAGGGAAGAGATAAACTTGAGTACTTTATTCCTTAGGGACTTAGTTTGAAGATGCATGAGCTGAATAAATGTAGGAAGGGAACACAGTTTAATAAATTCAATTTTGTATATATTTGCTCCCAATTCTATTGTTCAGTTGTGGTACTATGTATAACATTTAGCCATTTCCATAAGCATCTTAACTCCAGTGTCTTCAGCTCATCCTGTGCCCCTGGGATGGTGGAAGAGAATACATCACTACAGTGTTAGCTACAATAATGGCAAATATCATCCCTGCTGCAGCAAGGAAGCTTAAAGGAGAATTACCAAACAATCACCATTTAGTACCACAGAGTCCATGTCCACAGCCAGACCCTGCAAGCTTCCCACAGAGGTCCTGTTTATAATGCTGGTCTGGATGGAGTCCTTCAAGATGGCTGCCACACAGTCCTCACAGAAGATGTGGCCCTTGGCATGTGGCATGACAAACACAATCCAAAAGTGGACAAGGAGGCCACCTTTGTTGTTGCTGCTATAATGAAAAAAAGAGAGATGTTCAAGGGTACCTCTTAAGATGCAGATTTTCACAGCAAGATGGAGACTCAAGTGAGATTCAGTACCCCTCTTTCAACTGAACTTAATTCCCTTCTGTAGGTGAGCACTGGGCCCTATTAAGGGGATTAGAAAGGGAAGACATTATGCTATCTGTATTCTGATTATTATGTTGGACTAAAATCTAGAACCACTACTCTTTGATTGCATGGAGAACATACTATTTCTATAGGCCTCAATCAGGACTCACTGCATTAAAAATAGCAACAGTTATAATGTTGATACCTTGCCATGTCCAGACACTGTGCTAAATCTGCTTTATCCCATTTAATCTTAGGGGAAAGATCCTATCATTATTGCTCCAGTTTTATAGATGAGGATATTGGAGGTAAGGTGCAAGAAGTTACTTGTGAGTGGTGGAATCTCAGCCCTTCTCAGCCTTGAGGGGACTTTAGAACAGTGAAGGCAGAAATCCCAAGACAAAGGACATGTTACCTGATATCTGCCACGACTGACTGCTTATAAAATTTGGAGAAGGCAGATGTCGTATAAACAAGGTTTACCTGCAAAAAAAAAAAATTAAATGTCTAAATTCAAACTGGCTTCTGTGGCCAGTGCCTTGCATGTTGCAGTATTCTGACAGCTAGCAGGGAGAAAAGCAACCACAAATGAAGGCTTCTAACTCCAAATCCAGACATTGTCTCTGCAATCCAAATAAAGTCTTACTTCCCACACCAGTTCTTGGGCTACTTGCTTTTATGTACTATCTTAGAAGAATGAATTACCCGCAGTCATTTACTAATCACTTTAAAGACTCTAGTCAAGCTTTATTTCCGTGTTCAGCCCACTCCAAAGGTTAATTCTCTCCACCAGTAACAAACCAAACTCATTTAAATACATTTCCATGGATTTTCTCAACATTTTTTTCTATCAGCTGTGACCATTATTCTTAATCCACCTCGCTCCTGTTAGAATGGCTATCATCAAGAGCACAAACAACAAATGCTGGCAAGAATGTGGGGGGAAAAGGAACCCTCACACACTACTAGTGGGAATTTCCAGCCACTATGGAAAACAATATGAAGTTTCATCAAAAACTAAAAATAGAGCTGTCATATGATCCAGCAATACTTCTCCTAGAGATATACCTGAAGTAATGTAAGTCAGGTTACAACAGAGACACTTGGCACACTGATGTTTATTGCAGCACTGTTCACAATAGCCAAGATATGGAAACAACCTAGATGCCCTGCAACTGATGAATGGATTAAGAATGTATTTATCACATGTGTATAATATATACACACAATGGAGTTTTATCCAGACATAAAGAAGAAACCATGTGGTCTGAAGGTAAATGGATGTAATTGGAGGACATCATGTTAAGTGAAGTAAGCCAAGTTCAGGGAGATAAAGGCTGCATGTTTTCTCTGATATGTGGGAGATAGACACGATTACAAATATAAGCAATATTATAAAAAACAGGTTACATTAAGGGGAGGTCACTAATGGGAGAAGGAGGGTAAAAGAAGGAAGTTAAGAAGGTAAATACAGTTAATGTACTTTCTATACAAGAATGAGCATAGAAGTTTTAAGCCTGTTGAAATCACCATAGAAGGAGACTAAAGTAGAAAGGAAAAAAATAGAGGGCATGAACCAATTCAAATTATAATACATATATACATGGAAATGTCACAAGGAAACTCCCCATAGCGATATCCTTAACAAACAAAATACCTTTTTCCAAAAGTGGAGAACAGGAAGGTAAAACAATCCTGTTGGGGGTTGGTACCAGGGGAGGAGGAAGGATATAAGGAAAGGGTAAAGGAGGGTGAAGGTAATGGAAATATTACATACTCATGTATGAAAATGGAAAAAAAGACATACTGAAACTATTCCAGGAATAAGGGAAGGAGGAGATAAAGGAGAATGATGGAAAAGGTGAATTCAACTATGATATACTGTGAGAACTTTTGTAAATGTCACAATGTACCCCCAATACAACAATAAAGAAAGAAAAAAAAGAAAAAAATTTTAAAGACATATTCCTGTATTACCACAAGGGGGCGAATGCCGGCAGTCAGTTCTACCTTCAGAGTGCAGTTCATTTGTTTGTGTGTGTGTGTGTGTGTGTGTGTGTGTGTGTGTGTGTGTTATTTTGTTTTGTTGCTGTGCTGGGGGTACACTGTGACGATTATAAAACTTCTTACAGTATGTCATAGTTGAATTCACCCCCTTCAATCATTCTCTTTTATCCCCCTTGTCCCCATTCCTGGAATAGTTTCAACAGGTCTCATTTTTCCATTTACATACAAGTGTACACAGTATTTGCACCATATTTACCCTCCTACACCCTTTCCTTATATCCTCATCCCTCCAACTGGTACCAACCGCCCCCCCCCCCCCCCCCCCCCCCGCCCAGGCAGGACCTGTTCCACCTTAAGAATGCAGTTCTTAAGGAGGCATCTGGCCCCTGTAAAACTCCATGATTGGATCTCAGGGGAGAGCTCTTTGCATCAGTTTGCCTTCTTTGTCTTCTCTTAGCGTTCCTAATGCCAAACTCAGTCTCTCCTCCCGAGTTCTTTTCTCCTCCTGTGCTTCCTTTCCTATATAAAAAAATATCTACCCAATTACCCAGGGTAATAATTTTTTTAAAAAACCCATAAAACCTTAAAATTATATAGCATAGTGAGGGGAAAAGTCTATGCTCTGAGTTCAAATTCACTATGCAACACAGAATGTATTGCTTAAGTTGCTGAGCCTCCGTTGCTTTTGTTTTGCTTCATTTTTCATCTGTAAAGTAGCTGTCGGAATGCCTAGATCCTTGGGATAACCTGAGGAGTAATTGGTGCACATGTATTAGAGGTAAAGGGTCAGTGAAGTAGCCTGCATTTAGAGGGCAGTCAGTAAATACGGGGCAGTCTGACTGCTTGCTGTCTCTCTCAACCATCTTCCTCATTCTTCACTGCATTGAGGTCATTGTCAGCATCTCTCTCTATTACTGTACAAATGCAGATGAGCAAAAGCTTTCTAGCTGCCAGTACGTGCCAATTGCCATGAATAGATATGTTTCCATTTGAGAAGGTAATTATTCATTAAGAACATCACCTACCTAGTGAGTGTGAAGCCTTGAAGTCAAGCCCCACTCATAAAAAAAAAAAGGAAGGAGGAAAAAGCAATTCTATTTTATTGCAGCAAAAATGAGCTAAATTTCATATCTGCCTCTGATGACTTCCTTCATCCACCTTCACACACCCTGCCCTCTACTTTCCTGCATCCTGCTCTCCTGTGAGCCTCCCCTCTATCCCATCCCCTCAACCTCCCGATTCTGCCCTCCTGGCCTCCCCTCTCCCCATGATCTCACCACATGCTGCACAGTCCTTGCCACTGAAAGAAATTCCCTGGACTCCTTCTGGCGGTACTCGGGAAGAAACTCAATGTTGGTGATGCGAAACATTCCAACAAAATAAAAGGCATCTCTGCTTTCTGTCTTACCTGCAAAGTAAAAGAGAAGGCAATTAGGAGGCTTCCCATCTGTCTGGCAGCAAGGTATGGTCCAACTACATCAGTATGAGGCCTGAAATAATTTTATTTCAAGCAGCTTCATACTTTACTGGATCACGACCTACCACGCTCTATGACCTCTTTTCCATCAGCAAATCACTGTATCTCTTAGACTACTCTATTCTTTCTATCTGCTACTGGTAAATATTTAAAAGCAAAGTTTAAGAGTAAAAGCTATACTTCTGAGACTCATTTCCACTAGATTGCCACTTCACCAGATACCAGTCACAAGTAGTGAGTCCCTAGGCTACCCACACAGCTCCTACAAATTAGAGGTTCCCATGACCCTCTCAGATGTGATAATTTGCTATAACATTCACAGAACTCAGGGAAACACTTTACCTACTATAATGGTTTATTATAAAGGATGTTATAAGGAACACAAATGAACAGATACAATGGGGAGGGGTGTCCAGAAGCGCCTGAGCAAAGGTGCTTCCATCCCTGTGGAGTTGGAGCACATCATCTCTCAGCAAGTTCACCATTTCAAAAGTGCCCTAAATTACATTTTTTAGAATTTTTATGGAGGATCTATTATGTAGGCATGATTGATTAAATCATTGACCATTGATGACTGAGTTCAATCTCCAGTCCCTCTTCCCTCCCCAAAGGTTGTGGCTGAGGGATGGGAATTGGAAACTGAATGTTACAGCTCTGCAATTACATGGTTGGTTCCTCTGACCTTCTAGGGACATTCAGCCCCAGCCATCATAATGACATATATAAAGAATATTCTCAGAAGCTCTATGTTAGGAATTGGGGACTGAGATAAAATACTATAATAAAAGATGCTCTTTTCACTTCCATCATTCAGGAAGTTACAAGAATGTTAGATGCCCTGTGCCAGAAACCAGGAGCAGAGATCCTGATAGTACATGTATCTTGTACAAGATATATTAATGCGTGTAGGATGAGAACTCCAACACAAGTCAACAAATGCTATAGTTATGAGCTCAATGAGTAAATACTCCATAAGAAGAGCTTAGTTATTACATCTGTCAGAAAGCATCAATCAGATCAACAAAAACCTAATAACAGGGGAGAGAAAGATGCTTGTGTAAAATGGAGCTCAGGGAGCTGGAAATTTAAGGTTGCCTAGAAACAGACAGTGGGTGGCATGAGGAAATGAAACAGCTTAGCATTCCATTCATTTTTTAAAGCTGCAAATGCATTGCTTTTCCAAGCTAGTCAAAATCCCTGGGCATCCTCTTCAGCTCTTCCCATCCTATTCCCCATCTCTCCTCCTCTCGCTGGCTTATGGAAAGGAAGAAGTGGTGATAAAGATGAAATGGTTTCTTTCTCTTTAAAGTCCCAACACTGAATGTGGAAACAGTCTATCTGTCTGGGAAAGAGGAAAATTCCATCAGGAATCTCCAGGGGCAACGTAGGCCTCCATGATTCTTATAAGACGCTCAGCATAAGCCCTTACCCCAAAGAAACACATATTTAACTTACTGATATAGAGCCACAGAAGTGTCCAGGCGATGACTGCTAGGATGAATAAAAACACTGTGAAGAGAATGATTTTAGTTTGGATGTTCCAAAAGGCACTTCTCTTCTTGGACTGTTTGTTGGGTTTGGCTCTGATGATGGGTTTTCGAGGCGGTCGCCTCCCCGGCAGCTTTCCTGGGACACTGACCACCTGAACTGAGATATTGGCTATCTTTATTAAAAAAAAGAAAAGAAAGACATATTCGGTCAGAAGTACTCTAGAGCTTAAATGGAACTCCCCAGCTGGGAGATTGTGGTGCTAAAAGGCTTAGCTCTCCCAGTGACATTATTTATGTAGGTGTAGTAGGTAAATTTGCAGCAAATCACCCAATGAAGATCAGACAAACTAGCCCAGTGCTGGGAACACATGTCTGGGGGTGCCACCACCCCCAGATGTTTGTGGCTTTTAAATGTTTATATTATATTCCTTTTATTCACAGTCAATTGTTTTTGGAGTGAGGCATGGTTAAAAATAAGAATATTAATGAATTCCTCACAGATGTATATAGATTTCCTAATTGTGACTTCCTGGCTGAGTGTTAGGAGAAAAATCTGAGAGTGATTTGTGCGGTGCTGTAGGGTAGAAATCCAGCATGATTGTCTTATCATTGCCCTCCCCTGAACTGACCAGTAACTTGGTTTCTCAATCATAAATGGAAAGAAATTCTAAATTAAAGGCTGGGCAAGAAATGGAACCAGCCTAGTTGCCCAACAACTGATGATCAGATAAAGAAACTGTGGTACACATGTGGTACACATAATAATGGAATATTATTTAGTCATAAAGAGGAATTCAATTATGTCATTTGTAGAAAAATGGATGAAACAAGAAATCATCATGCTAACCAAACTCTGCAAGATAATCAAACTCAGAAAGAGAAATATAGCATGATTTTGCTCATATGCAGAATCTAGAACTAAAAAATAATAATAATATCTCATGATTATAAAAAGGGGACTGTTGGAGAGGGGAACCAGTGGGTGGGAGGAGGGGAAAAGGGAGGGTGACGGGTGAATACTATAGAAGCATATTGTATATGTGCATGAAAATAGCAGTGAAATCTACCAAGAACTATTTTAAAAAGGAGGGTAATAACGAAAGAGTGACAAAGATAGAGTGAATTTGATCAAAATTCAAATTATAAATATCACAATTGTACAATTAATTTATGCTAATGAAAAATAATAAAATAAAATAAAGGGCTGGGGCATGGTTCAAATGGTAAAGCAAATAAAACAAAGTGTAAAAGAGGACTCACCAGGTTGGATAATTACTGGTTTACATGTATGGATGCATAAAGTGTTACTTGTGAGAGGAAAAAAAAATAGATGATTTAACTGTTCCCTTCCTCCTCTTTTATTTTCTCCTTTACCTTCTATCATTTGATGCTGTGAATTCTTTAATAATGTATGTGAGAGTTTAGCTTCTTTGACAAAGAGATTTATACATGTCAGGGTAACTAAACTCCAGTGATGAAATAACTTTTAACCACACATTCTTTTAAAGGCAACAATCTGGAAGATCAAGTCTAAAGAAATAATTTCTCTCTGCGCTGTTGTTGAGTTCTCTTTTTTCTCACTCTTCTCTTCAAAATGTATGCCTCCCAGTCTTCAATCCTGCCAATTAATGGGATAATATGTGGCCAAGTACACTTTGAATTATTCATGCCTCCATTCTTTTTGCCAAACACCCTTGTCAGTCCTTGAAGCAAAATATAGCTTGTATCTCTCCTGGTGAAATTAAGCTAGACTAGACTTCATTTAATGTAGTTTCCTGCAGGAGTAAGGGTGGTGTTAGAAAGAAAAATATTGCATTGTAGGATGAGTCAACTGTGGTGTCAAGCTACTTTCAAGCATTCCTCTAAAGTAAGAGAAGACACACAAAGAGACTCAGAGAGAATCGACAAGGCCAGTGTTGGATCTTTAAGTGCAAGAACACATTATAGTCTGTCTCAGTTAGCACTGATTAAATTTTAAAGTGGAATTTGTATAGAGTTCAGTAAAATTTCCCTGGAGTTTTAGAAAAACAGTTGCTAAACAATTGCCAAGTACAGTACTTTAAGATAAACTCACATTACTAAAATCCATTAAGAATCATAAAAATGTATCTGTTTTATCTCTTTTAGTTTTATAAGGCCATGCGCTCTCACTTCACTAACAAGGACAACTATAAATGGCTGTCATGTGAGAGAGAAGGCTCCCCACACCATACTTACTTTCAGGTCAGCGGGTTCGGATGAAGCACCACAGTTTTCTTTGTCCATTTTCAGGTGTTCCTCTGTGCGACCATGCAGGGATGTTTACAAGCCAGTTTTCCCCCACTCACATGTTTGCTTGAAAAGAACTGAGAGAACCGTAGCTGCATTCAAGCTAGCTTTCAGAGGAATGGAATCAATTTACCTCCACCGGGTCCAGTTCAGAAACTGAAGCTGCCTCATTGCTATATTGTAAATGTTAAAGGGACCTAGCCCTCAGCTTTTCACCGCTAACTGTAGGCTGAGAAACTCTCAGAGTCCAGCCACAAGACAAAGTTTCCATGTAAGAAACTCAGTACAACAATCCAAAAATACGGGCAGAAGTCATTAAAATTGCTGCTTGCATCTACTGATGGAAATGAAGAGGTCTAATACATAGCCCTCACCACGTTTCCTAGACACCCCACACCCTGTTCCTCTTGCTTGGTCTCTCATGAATGTTCCAGAAGACACCTTCTTCAGTCCTGTTCTCAGCTCTCCAACTCTACTCCCCTTGGAAAACTCCTGTTCGGCAGGATTTTTTTCTATTTTTCTCCCTTTAGTCTTGCAATCCTCAGTAAACGTTTGGGGGTTTGTTTGATTTTCTTTTTTTAAGACAAGTTCTTGCTATATGTCCCAGGTTGGCCTCTGACTCAGGATTCTCCTTTCTCAGCCTTCCAAGTATAACAGGTGTACACCATCTCATCCAGATCAAGAGTAAATTTCTTTTCTTTTTTTTTTTCTTTTGAGACGGGGTCTTACTGTGTAAGCTAGGCTGGCCTCAAACTCATGATTCTCTCGCCTCAGCCTCCCAAAAAGAGTAACTTTCTAAGGGTTTTGAATCATTGGAAACATTTGAGTTTACTTGGGGCTGAATTCTTGTCTCCATCAACCTCAGCAGGACCACATAGTCCTGCATTTAAACAGAAGATTCAAAACAAGCATGATAGCAAAATGACTATAAAGACAAAGAGGCAGAATTTTAAATATTTCATTTCTGTCTTCCATATGACCATTCAGTGTTAATTTCCATTTAAATTTAGTTTAGTTGTACAGAGCATGAACTGCAAGGCATAACGTTGTTATTGGTAATATTTTGTATGCAATATTTATTTTGTCAATTTTATTTTTATTAACATATAGATACAAAGTTGAGTGTGATTTTTTTTTTCACTATGCTTTTTCCCAGCCATTGTTATAACTTTTTTAGACAAGGTCTTGCTATGTGTCCCAGGTTGGCCTCTACCAATGATTAAAAATTATTACTCATTTTATTACATGACTCTTAAGAAAGATAATTTTTACATAGAGGAAGTGGTTGTTTAAAAAGTCATTCTGATTGAACAGATAGATGATAAAGCAAGTACAGCAAAATGTCAAAGGTAGACTCTAGGTGCGTGTAAATGCACTAACACTACAAAATTCTTTCAATATCATTTTAATTTTTCCTGATACCATATTAATGGGAAAATGAATGCCTCTGGGAATCAAATTCACGAGCTAAGGCACTGATTTTAAAGATGATAGCAGAGAAAGCTGGGCTGTGAGATGAACAAGCTTGTAAACTTGGTGGACAGGCATGCATTGACCTCCTTGGTGCTTTTACTGGTGTGGAAGTTCTGGTACAGGCTGATTTCAATCCCAGAACTATAACCAGAGACAATCACAATGACCAGATAAAGGATGGTGTTTCTATCAGAAGCAGCTTAAAAGACAATGGAGAAATTTCTACTCCTTTTTCAGGAGCAAAAACACCTGTGCTGAGGGAAGCAGGGCAGGTTCTGTCAGCCAACCAGTAAGATAGTGTACAGTGACCTGGATCAGAGGAGAAATGTCTCTACATACTTCAGCAGAGGTCATGGAAAATGCATACTGAACCAAGACCTGAACTTAACCTATAAAAATTTAATTTATTTATTGTTTTGGGGGGTACCGGGGTTTGAACGCGGGGCCTCATGCTTGCTAGGCAGGCACTCTACCACTTGAGCCATTCTGGCAGCCTCAATATAAGAAAACAATTTAACTGTTTCAACCTTCTGCATTGAAACTAGTGCATTGTGAAGACCTGGATGTAGGTACAAGCCATGAATCCAATATGAGCAAGGTTTGGAGCCCCTGACATAGAAGACACCTAGCAGTGGAGGTGACATTTCCATCTTTGCCTAACTGCAGGAGAGGCCAGCTCTTTAACAACAGAAAAATGCATTTCTGCTACTTGACATCCACCTTTTAGTATTATTATAAATGGCCACATACAAAGTTGCCATCTGATTACCATTCATTACTGAGCTCTCTGTAGAGGGGTGAATAAGTTCTGAGGAATCACAAGGTAACATTGGTCATCCTTAGTGTTTCCCTGCTGACTCACAGGACTGTGATCGTAATCACTTGTGTCACTTAACATGGATTTTTTTTTAATTTTTTGTTTCTTTATTTCTTTGTCTTTTTTTTTTTTTTTGGTAGAATTGGGGTTTGAACTCAGGGCTTCATGCTTGCAAAACTGGCACTCTACCACTTGAGCTACACCTCCAGTCTATCACATGGATCTTTTTATTTTATTTTATTTTATTTTTATTGTTTTATTATTCATATGTGCATACAAGGCTTGGGTCATTGGATCTTTTTAAAAATGAAAACTATAGCAGGGTACCTAAGGTCTGGACTCTTGTATAGCCCCTTGACCAGATTTTCCTCTTCTCGGCCCAGCCCACAAACTAAAACTGACTCATGTGCTCATTACTGCTAAACAAAACTCTCTAAAATGACTCTAACATCCCCTCCATTCTCCATTAACAGCGGCCCTAGCCTGATATTCAAGGTCTTTGCCAGCATGGTATCAGGCCACCTATTTGACTGTGCCTGTCACATATCCTAACTGTTCGCTCTTTATTCCTCTATGCATTCAGCCATCCATCTAATTACAAATTTATTGCATGCCTACTATTGTAAGATGTCAAATATTTTTTAAATGAATATACTGCTGCTCTTAAATAGCTCTCAATGAGAGGGCAGACAGACAAGCTGCTGATTACATTATGCAACAAGTACTTTCACAAAAATATGTACAAATGCCCTGGAATGATAGAGCAGTTGGACAATAGCAGCCTCTCTCCTGACTTTGTGCCTGTAGTAAGTACACAGTACCATTCAATCCTAACTACACTCCATGCCCTACTTGTAGGTCTTCTGCAAACTTCACACCCCGGCCCACGGAACTCTCTTTATGGCATTTCTTACGTTATAAGTGCTGCTTATATTACAGGTTCACATTACAGCTGAGGAACACTGAACTTGGGGAATCCTCTGCTTTCACAGCAAACAACAAGCATGCCCACTCATTGTCCAAAATGGAGATACTACCTCATTCCCACAAGGTTCCCTACAAAAACATCCTGGGAAATGAACAAGATAGGGAGAAGTAAGGATGTTGCATTCTTAGCAGACTGGGGACCTAAAACATCAGAAACTTACTGTCCCTTACAGTCTTAGAAGCTAGAAGTCTAAAACCAAGATGCCAACAAGGCCATGCTTCCTCTGAGACTTTAAGTTCTCCCTTCCCCTTCCTTTATCCTGGTGGTTTGCCAGCAATCACTGGTGTTCCTGGACTTGCAGTTGTACCACTTCAATGTCTGCCTTCGTCCTCACATGGCATCTTCCTCCAGGTGTTCATGTTTCTTCTCTTCTTGTTGGGAAACTAGCCATACTGACTTAAGTGCCCACCCCACTCTAGTATGACCTCATCTGAGTCAATTACCTTGGCAATGACCTTATTTCCAAATAAGGTCACACTTTAAGGCAGTAGGATTTAAGTCTTTAATGCATTTTCTTTCTTTCTTCCTTTTCTTCTCTTTCTTTCTTTTCTTTCTTTCTTTCTTTCCTTCCTTCCTTCTTTCTCTCTTCCTTTCTTTTTTTTTAATTCAGGTCACAACAACCAGCAAGACCTCTAGGAGTGTGAGAGACCTTTGAAGGATTTTCTGTCTGAACACAGTAAACTTGCAAAATGGATTGCACTAAAAAATTCTAATGTTTGCCATGATCTGGGATGACAAGTGGGATTCCAACCATACTATCTAGATTTTACTCCAAAACTTCATCCTATCTTTCTGATTCTTTTTTATCTCTGTGATGAGGAGGGGAGAGGATGGTGTAGCATAAGTTAGTTCTGGTCACAGAGTCATTAATATACCATCCATGATTAACCATATTAATCCTAAGGGGCAAAGGTTCCAACAAGCTGTCCTATTAGACTAGTAATGGGAGGATAATGGTGGGTAGCTAGTGGTCTTTCTCTTTCAGGTTTAATTAACCCACTAAAAAGGCTTTTTTTTTTCTTTTGAATTGTTTGGTATGAGCAGTTCTTAATTTAGCCTAAATATACGCTTGGGTTAAGGGTTAGTGAGGTAAACTGGTCCAGAGCCATTCTACTTCCCATTCTTAACTAGACAACCCCTAGGAGGCCCAGATGGGCCCACAGTAAACAGCAATCTCATAGAAAGTCACCACCTTACTAAGATAGCATAGCATCTGGCTGGCAGTAGGAGCTGAATTGGCTTAATGTTTCAAGATGGAATGTTTTTGCTGCACTAAAAATTATTTACTTTGGAAATTATGCAAAAGTCAAAAGATTGCAAAGGAATATATTTTAAATCAACTTCAAAAATCAGATTGGTCAGAATGTCAGGATAGGATTGAGAAAACAACAGAATGATGGAAAGTTAGAATAATCATGACAGAAAGGATGAAATAAAACAGGTGAATGAAAATGAACTTGGCACAGAGAAATGTGGAGAAAAACGAGGGATAAAAAGGAGAGGAGGTAAAAAGGGAAGGAAGGGGACAGTAAATTGCTGTAGGTGTGTGTGCTACGGCTGACATTGGCCTACAGAGCATGCACTGTTCTGCAGTCAGGAATCAAATCCTGCTCTGCTCTGAAGTTAGCATTCTAGCAACTGCATCTCAGTTAGCCTGCTCAGTGCTCTGAGCTGCTGGTGGACTCTAGTGCCTTGTCATGGCTGCTTTTCCCTAGACTG